TGACTTCTCAGTCAGCCCCAATGTACGATATACAGATTCAGTTATACGTCATCGGCATTCGCTTTACGTGATACATTATTTTCATTAAAGGTATATAAAGTTTTATATTTATTCATATTCTTTTCTTAGGTTTTTGTCATGAAAGAAATATATTAGTAATTCTTTTATTTCTTACTGAACGACACTACTTTCTGAAATAAGTACACCAGATTCCGTTTAGATACTGTAGACGTTTCTGTACTTGTTAAACAATCGCGGTATGGCTTAACTTACAATAACATATTGAGATAGGTAGCATACTACGTATGTCTGTACCTATATATCAAATGGAATAAAGTAATTGCGATTTGAACCCAGTACGCTTAGTAGAAGTTAGCATCGTCACACTACACACGAACCGTTTGAAGTATTTAAAGGAAATAGCTAACGTTAATAATATAATGTGTACAGATTTATACATGATAAAATGCTAACGCTCCGTATGTAGTGGCGACGTCAGCTTAAAGTAAGTAAGCAGCTGGTTTGTGAATTCAACATTATTCGTACTATACAATGTTCGCAGGCGACTTCAATCACATTGAAAATATTGTGTTATTTGTTAGGTTTAAGAATATAAAGGAGTCAAGTTAAGGTGTATCACAACCAGTAAGAAAAAGATATTGGAATATTGGCTGAAGTAATTGGATAAAAATTGGAAATATTAATAGATTTGTATCTTTAATTCTGTTATATTTTAAACTAACGGTTTTTTAAATATTTTTACGTAACTCTAACGGTTCCTTTTATTTCCCCCTTCCTTGTAACATTTTTGATTAATTCTTATTAGTATAGCGTGATAGCATTAAACCTGTGATAGTTATAGATTTATTAACAGAATTCAGTTTTTTACACTTACTCTAGAGAATTTAAATCAAATAACCAAAATAACTTCTATCAAAAATTAGAGCTGTAAATAGTTAGACAACTATAACACCAAAAAAAATTTTAATATTAAAATGTTTTAATGGTAATAGGTTTGATTATATCTTATATATGTATATGTTGTTATCTGTCCGCGGTGGCCGGTGTGTACATATTGTAACAGGAGAGGTGTCTTGAATGTCCGTCGTTGTGTAAAGTCGAGGCAGCCGGCGAGGAAACTTCCTTATCAGAACAAACAGATGCTATCACAGTTAAAGTTGGTCGGACACGAGACACCTAGAACAGATAGCATTGAATAAGTTTAACGGACTTCAAGAAACATTTACAGCGAGATACTTATTATACTCGTATGTACATACATTTTAAAAGAAGTTCTGAATAAATGAATTAAACTACTTTTAATCATGATTTTACTTAGACATATTATGTAGTTTTAATATATTATGTAGTTTTAATAAATAATGTATGTGTGTGTGTGTGTGTGTGTGTGTGTGTGTGTTTGTCTGTGTTCGTTGTCCTTCAAACTGAAGTTGGTTAGGGGGGAATTTTGCTTGTTAAGTGTATGTATGTGTAATAAGTTCCTTCTACCCAGCTATTGAGTTATGTTATATGAGTGAATGAAATGAATGAGTGGATTGAACGAATGAGTTAAGTCTCGCTCGCTTTGAGGTTTATGGTTCAGTAAATATAACAAGGACTCAATGATTACATGATTCTATAACTTAATACTTTGTAAGTAGTCTTGTATCAATATATTATCATAGTAATCGGTGATGTAAGTGTATAGGAAGTCTATATGTTACGGCTGCTGTTACGGTTACAGGCTGCCGGCTACTGGTTGAAGGAATTATAACAAACACGCTCGCTGGTAACGTCATCTGTACAACCTCAATAGTTAGTATGACATACAGAAAAAAAAGTAGGAAAATGTACGCCATATAAAGATATAGAACAATTTTAATCAGTTGATGGACATCTCAGCCGACCTGTACGGTTTCTGGCAATTTTATTAAAATTTTAATCATCTTGACTTGTTTAGACAATTATAACCAACTAAAATATTAGTCACATCAGGATGTGAGAGCTAGTTACAAAATGTCAGTAGAATAAAAAATATTATATGAAATTTAGATAGGAACGATCTGTTATTGTTATTTAATAATTCTCACTAATCTGATTTATTTAAGCCGACTTCAATAACACAAAAAGTAACAACAGAATAATGAATATATTATACAAACTTATAGTTTTTGTTTTCAATTTTCAGAGACTTCGTATTTGTTCTATTATGATGTATTGAAATGGATAAAGAAATAAATATTGTTGAGAACATTAACTGTAAGAGTGCGGCAATAAACAGCTTGTGAAACGTTCCAACGATACACTACACAGAAACGATATAAAAATATCTCACTCATATAAAACTATCAGATATTTTAGTTTTTAAAATCTATAACAATTTACGATCGAAAACTGAAAGCTATTCAGTGACCGCTTTTAAATTTTACTGTGATATGAAATAACATTGAAGAATTTATACACGAACATGTTGCTATAACGAAGTACCGAGAACAGATCGGAAATGTTAACAAAACATATTGATGTATGCTCCTGACACCGATACGAACGATTACGTATAAAGTACGATCAATTAATGTTCGTCGGTGTAATTATCGACATTTTTCTTTGTTCGACGCGTCTCGACCGCGGTTGTAGGAGTTATACAATGTACATGCATGTGTGGGGCGACTTTCCCAGGAATGTGTCTCGTAACGGTAGTTTGTAATCAGTAGTCAGTAGTGACGTCCCTTGCCGACGATATCGAAGGGCCGACACATTACTCATCGTGTACACAATGCTTTCACAACACTAGTTACGAGTACATCTATTCTTTGTCCTCTTTAACGTTTTCCTTCATATCAACATGATTTTCATGCTCCATAATTGTATGTCTGTTGTATATTTCACAGCATCTGTACCCAGGTGTGATGTGACCACTGAAAAACATCCCCCGCGTACTAATGCTTGTGGGTTGCGTGCATCGCTCATAGCTTAATCATATACTGCATGTACATTTATAAGACACAAAGAATTCTTAAATATATACAAAAATTATAATCCAGTAAACATGATCTCTATGTATATCATTTCTGGTTTTGTTTTGTGGTATACTTGAGGAATTATTTTTCATTGATTAATGTTTATTGCTGCAAGAACACAAAATAGGACAGAAAAAATATTGACACAGTGTGTGAGCGCGCTGTTATCTCTATAAACAATACCTTACAGACAATATTAGGTAAGATAAAACTGTTACATATATTTTATAGGATAATAGTTTTGATTTTAAAAATATACAGTAAATTATTTCTTATGTTCATCAAATATCTAAATCGTTTTATTATTAACCACTGGATATCAAGGCGACCTTCGTACCGCCCTATAATCAAGAAATATCTGTTACCTTTTTATCTCAATGAAGTTAATTTCTTTATTAAGTATATATGACTCGACAGACAATGTTCTGTCTTCTTAACTGTGGTTATTGATTTCTAAGTAGTATATGTATTAGCAAATTAAAATTATTCCAAAAACAAAGTGTTAATTATTCTAATGGTTTTATTCCAACTACATGAATATTGGTGCGAGGGACACATTACTTTAATAAAAAAACGTGAAATATTCTAGTGTTTTTTCTAGTCATTTTCGTATTTTTTTCTTACACAAGAACCTTCTCCTAATTATAACATATACAATAAAAAAAGAAATCGGCCAAGCCATTCACGCGTGATGCCGTGACCAAGGGTAAAAGGGATTCATTTTTATATATGTATATAGATATAACGGATGCGTTTAGCAAACAATGCTGTCTACGCATCAGCTCCTTGAGAGACGTTTGTATTCATAGCATCAAGCTGAGGAGGTGAAATTACTGACACACCATACTCGACATCAATTAGAACATCGACACAACTTGTATGGACTGTAGGTGGGCAGTGTTTGTTGGCTAGTGAACGCAAATCCATATATTAATTCCTTAGCTAGTTTTACTGTACCATTGTTCTGGTTAATGTTTCAAATACTGAGCATTTGATTTCGTAAATCATATTAATTTTCCCCATAGAGATGAATGTTTTAAAAACTTAAAGAAACGTCATACTCGGCATGAGGGCATTGAAAATTATAGATATTATAAAGTTCAGAAAAATTTTGTAATTTTATATTGCGACGATATATTATGTAAATTGTACTTTTCCTTATACCTAATAACATTTAAATTAAAACTTTTTCCTTAAATACTAAGTTACAAAAGGGAATGGAAATAGGAAATCAATAGAAGTAGAGATAATAAACTGTTTTAGAGAACGTAATTAATAAAATCCTACCTACACTCAATTGAAAGACGCGTGTAATAAACTGAAATAAGTATTGATTGCTCTAACTGATAGAAACATACCGTAGAGACTGACTTGATTGAAAATAAATATCTGGTGGGACGTCGCTAATCCAGGTCGAATAAGTGCCTTTAGCCTTACCCTTACCATATGAAAATCTGTAATGGGACATGTGCTAGATATAAGAAGAGATTAGAGGCTATTGACGAAGGATTTACTTTAAAAATTCAAAACGTTAATATTTTAAATAATTAGTGGCTTAACTATTTTGTTAAATAATATAGCCATCGGTTGATAGGATCTTTATTAGTTGTTACATAAAAACAAACAAACAAATGAGAAGTTTAACATAGTATTGTTATGCTTTGGTTGATCGACAACGATGAGTGTATTAAAAGTATCAATAATATGTAGCTACTTGTGTCACATACCAGATTGTATGTGACACAAGTAGCTACATATTTGTGACACAAGTAGCTACATACGAGATTTGTTCATTGAAATGAAACTTATAGTTTTCGTGTATACTACGCGAGCTTTATTTTTGTAAAAAAACTACATATTCTCGACGTTTCGGTTACGTTTCAACAACCGTGAGACGAGATGCATCTCTGAAAATTATTAGTTTCATTTAGATGTACTCTATATTTGTAGCTGGTGAGAGGTGAACCAGCAGAGTGCTGCATGCTGCGATGGTATATGCGGCGAGGGGTGGTGTCCGTGTGTGCGGGGAGGTGGGGGAGGGGCCTGCGACTGGTGATGATGATGCTGATGATGATGAAGCACGCCACACACGCTGACGTCATCTTTAAAGTGCCCGAAGTTATGGTATTGAACTCATTCCATACGTACACTAAAATTATACTTAAAAGAAAATAAAAACCCTCGTTGCAATTACTTCTTAACAACTTACTTTAATTGTAGTGAAAAAGTAATGTGTTAAGTGTCAAGTTTCAATGTTAAATAAATAACATCGTGTTAAGGCGTTTGATGGTCTGTTAGATGTATCGAGCGTCCCACCACGCACTAATGTCTGTTTAAATGTCCCAACAAGGCATTAATATTATTTCCTGCTCTAGAAATCCGTCAAATGGCTAACGGACTAGCTCTATTCCTATCTATAATTCCACCCCTGAATTTAAATGTGACAGTCATCATGTTGTTAAATAATATGCGAACAAATAAGTGTCATTAGTAAACAACCATTTTGTAATTTTTCACTATAACGCTTCATCATTCAACATTGCACATATTCATGACTTTCTGTAATATTTCCTTCTATCAGAGGCACAATTATTTGTTTCGAGGTCGTTTATTATTGTCTATAAATTATGTTAAGTACGGCACACTTAGGGATATTTAAATTCAATTCAGTCAAAGAAAAAAACCCGCTATGAATAAAGTAACAATATTAATTTTAAATTAAATTCTTTATAAATATCTCACAGTACGATGTTCAAGTAAAAAAATCAAGGCTCTGCTTAATAATTACCTAAATATTTTTTTTAATCAGTTCAATTAAGATCTTTTTTCATTGCAAAAATTTCTCTCCTATACATTAACTAACTCTTAAATCCCCCTCTTCTTCCCATAGTCATCTTCAGACGTGTGTGAGTCACCAATGAATGTAGCGTGTATGTTTCCAGGCTCGACCGATTTCAGGCTCCCGCGCGGTAGGTGTGGGGTCAACGAACTCCAGCAGGTCGGAGCCAGTAGCAGCAGCAGCAGGCGGCTGGCCGGAGCCGGAGCCGCAGTACGAGGAGTACTTCGTGGAGCACGACGTGTCCACGGCCGACGCGCGCGCCGCCGCACAGCTCCTCAACTTGGATGACAGTAAGTATGAGCCTATTCAACACTACTCCACTAATAAAATGACTTCTAAATAAACTTCTATAATTTGTAACTGTTTGTACTTGTCAAATGTTTGCTTTTTTGTAATTTCCTCTCATTGCTTCTCAGTTTTCTGTAACGTCCTCGTCAATCTCTGTATTGAAATGAATCTGCATGAGATTGTCTGATTAGGAAGACACGAATGATCGTCTCTATAAGAAACAGATTAAATAAAATCTCATTATTTACAACATTATTTATCATTACAAATAATTTTTTACTATTGGAGCTTCTATTTTTCGTAAGACATAGTTGTTTGCAATTTTATAATCAAAAGTGACACATTTTTTCGCTGGCGCAGGTTAGAATTTATTGCACGAGTATATGATGAACTATGTAGCACGATAGAGACGTTAAAAACTACGGCACATTATATTTCCAGGTAGAAATAAATTAAACAGCTCTAAGTAATAAAAAAAGTAATAAAAAATGGTATCAAAGTCAAGTAGTGAGTTACGGCGGGTAGTGGAACATTCGTCATAACTTTCATGTAGTGTTGCAACATCACCTTACAGTAATTGGTTCAATGGATGTGAGAATTAAGGACGGATTAAAACTGTGTTTAGAACTGGTTGAAGGTCGAATATGATTAGACAACAGTATACGACAAGTTACAAGATTATCTTGGATAATACTAATTATATAAACTAATTAAAATAATATGAATTTTTTGAAGAAAAAAAAATATGTTTGAATAACTTTATTTAACATGTATGACGTCTAGTTCACAGTGTTTTTTTGTTCTCGAAAACCTGTACATTGACTAATAAAAATATTAGAGAAATAAATATTTTCGTTTTCCGTAACATATACTGTTGTGTTACGTTATGGAGTTTCTATGGAGTCTACTTTAATATAGAGCTTTACCAATTGGATTTTTTATTTCATTTGAAGCCCTACAAACTATATAATCTCCAATAAACACTACTATAATACTATGAATCATATCTAAATCGATTCCGTCTATCGGATCAGTGATTTTGTTCATATTTCCTTCAAAACCTTACAAGTTTCGCGTCCCCTTCCATTTACGTTTCTTTAGTATGTACTCGAACGTCCGTAACTCAAGTGCTTCCGAGTACTGAAGGGGTGATAGTGATCATCGCTAGGTTCTAACAGGCGAGGGTGCGGATAACGGATTGTATTTGAATATTAAGTCAGTTCTGATGAATCTGTCTGAATGGTGATTGTGATGATGAGCCAGCAGCATTTATGATTACAGTCATGACAGGCTCCAGCAGTCACAACGACTGATGTATAATCAGTGCGATAATTAGATATATTATGAAACGAACCTTTGTACTATGAAGGCTGACTGACTGACTCCATACTGCTCCTATACAATGTATATATTATATGTTGTCAACTCACTAATTGTCGCTGTGTATAAAAGATTGTCCAATGTCATGTAATTTAATCAAATGAATGCGCACTTCACCGACTGACCGTCGCGTGACGTCTCTCACACGTACCCGCGACGAATCCTTCCTTTATATTAAAACAATACCTGCTTAGATTTAATATTTCACGCATGTTATATAGACAGTGTGATTTATTATAATATACACAATGTTAGTTGAGAGTCAATGAGTCGCTCACCAGACAATACCTACTGCTACAAGGGCTGTGGGAATATTGTCACCCAACTTATTGTCAGGCAATAATTTTTATTCTTCTGTTGGAAATGCTTCAGTGTGACACTATAATAACTTAAATAGTACTAATAATCATTTTCCTTATATTTTTTTGCATCTATATATAATATTGAGTGTAAGGTTAAATTAAACAGACTCTGTATACCCCAGTGTAAGTTACCGTAAAATTATCAGCCGTCATCGACATTGAAAGTTTTTTGTAAATAAATACAAGAAGAGAGTTTAAAATATGTTAGGAATTAAAAGTTTAAAGTTAGTAATAAAATCTATGAAATACAATAGACAATGAGATCTCAGACTCGATAAGGTAAATATGACAAAAGAATGATTTATTAAGAAATAAAAAAGACAATCTGATATAAAAAATATATTTCGTAAAGATTTAATGTCCACTTGTCACTGTTCGCTAATTGTAAGGTTTCCAAAGCAGGCGGTCAAGGTGACGGGCGTGGTGTGTATTGTATGTATGAGGAGCTTCCGTAGCGGATATTATTGTTCTACATATTTAGGTAATATTAATACATATTTTAAAAGTTAAATACGAAGATCAGTTTAAGTAAAGTTTACCCTCCTCAAAATAAAAGTATCACACGTGACAGATTTGTTCTGTCACGCACGACTTCCTCGCTCAGTTTTTTGCTTGTGATCGGTTAACCTTCGATTTGTTATTGTCACGTCTCACTTGATTTCGATTTTATACAAAAAATGTGTCAAAATTACGAATTTCTAAAAGTTATCAACTTAGATTAGTTATATTGAAACTGAACGTGAACATCCGCGGATAAAAGAACCAATATATGCAATGATTGCATTAATATCAGATTACAGATATCAAGGACAATAAGATATATGATCGATCCTGCATTACGTTACCTGTATAAGTTACAAACATGTTACCTTCTTATAAAGATAACAATAATTGTTACAGAACTTAAATCCATAAATTAATTCATATGAGCACGACTCACTAACACCTGTGCCAGCTTGAAGGACTAATTAGTTCAGACATCCGATCAGACACTCCATTGTCCTCTGTTACACAACCGCTCTCAAATCATTGATATTCATCGTAGGAGACGTCTCGTCAGCTGTGAGGGGAATACACAATGAGCTGCTCCTACTATCTTTAACAGACGCATTTTTCTAGTAATTGATGAGTCAGCCAGACTTAGAACAATGAATGACCCTCCCTTTATATAGCGATCTAAGCTGGCAGGTGACGCTACCGACGTTGACGTATGTCTTTGTATGATAACTCTAATCGTTGTCCTAATGGCAGCTGTTTCTGTCAGTTCCAGAGACCCGCGTGGGTTGCGGTCCTTGCAGCCGCCGTGAGATGGAGTACTGTGAGAGCCGCGTGTTGTCTGACCACTGCTGCTGCGAGCGTCAGTTCCTCCCGGAGCCGTTCCCCTGGCTGCCTCACACCTGCTACGTCGGTCCTCACCGCTGCAGGCCGCTCGCTAGAGACTGCACCAAGTACGCTCGCCTCAGAGACTGCTGCTGTCTGAGGAGGCTCGCTGAGAGATGTGAGTCACTCACTACATGCTTAGACCGAGTACAGAGAACAAGCATAAACTAAAAGACTGCCATTGAAAAAATAAAAATCATTGGAATTATTAAACTCTGCTAATAAATAAATTTTTGAAATATACTATGAAGTCGAAGTTGAATATTTATGTCTCTTATTGTGACAGTAATGATTCATTTTCGTTTTAAATTTCCTCATCTTCAAAATTATTTATATAGAGGAAATAGAACTCTCACTACTGTTTCTATAACCTTCATATACTATCCCATGTTCTGTATCTTATGTATCATCTCTGTATATGTTCCAGGGAAGTCTATCCTGTCATCATCTCCACGTGGTCGCTCGTGTCTGTTGCTGCTGGTCTCCTCACTCCTCGTGCTCCTCAGCATCACCTACACCAACATATACTGACCTCCTCTTCCACACAGACAGACTACATAGAACATTAAATACTTTATTAGGTATCAATGTCTAAAAATTATATAAATGAAAGTCTATATTGTTGGAAGAATTGCCTAAAAATTGTATTTAAAAAAATGTAAAATATTTTGTTATTTTTATTCTTTTACTAATACTGTAACTGTATTATTTGTTAGAGGACGATTTGAAAATCAATTATTTATTTAAATTATAATTAATTATAGATATTGTTTGACACCAAAGGTGCTTAGACTGAGTTACCAGAACATGTAGAGATAGGAGATGAGGCGAGATGCTACAGTGTTCACTTTATATACAGGATGATCACATGTATATAAGAGGAACAAAAACACTAATATTATATGAACAAATTGTATTATATAGAAACATCGTAATGAAATAGGTTCTGCTTATTGTTTCGTGTCGTTAAATGTAAAATAAACGATATAAATGTCGCTGTTCGCGCGGATAATGAGTTTTATTTCATATTTACCATAATTTAATACAATATTAAGTACAGCGTGTTGTCGGAACATTATTTCGTGTGCCGACCATCACGACATGTGAATAATTTATGTATATTGATGAAATACATGAACCGGGTCAGACGAGCAACTGAACGGTCAGCACGATGAGGACCCGCGACCCTGAGGAGTGGTGTGAGAGGATTAATGAGACGACTCTGGATGGGTTTGAGTTACGACTGAGACGGAGCTTACTACACACGATGCGAGAATATATGAGGAACAGCTCGGTTAAAGGAATTAGATATGTTACAGATAGGAACGATCCATTGGCCTTGAGGTGAGGATGATAGGAGAATATAACAATAGATGGATATCATTAACTACATATATATGTCGCAAAAAGTTTTTTGGTTTCAATATTGAAGGAGCTACTCTTCGTAGATTTTTTTTTATTTTCTCGTAGATGTTGGTACGCGTGTGTTATACTAATCACTATGCTGGGTATGTGTGTGCTGCTGCCCCTGTCCCTGGGGTCGGAGGGTGTCAGCAGCCTGTCCGTGAGACAGCAGCTGGGCGTGTTCCCTCTCAGTGAGGTGGACTTCCCCGCGGTCGGTCTGTGTAGCAGCGGACGGATCAGTCGACAGTCACGTGATGAATACGCAGCTTATTTGTGAGTTTTTAGGTATAAACAGCTTTAGGAGTTAGTAATAGTTGGAATAAAAAGATATTTCAAATACTTGAACTAATTTATAATAACTTTCTCATATTTTATTGGGATAGATGACTAAATATAACAAATATCGGAGAATAGAAGCGTGTATTGAAACTAATGTATAAAACTTTTATAATTTCAGAAACGATTAGTTTTATCATGCTTTATAAGAATAATTCATTTTTATTTGGTACTATTTCCATTTATGCTAGCAATTTTTTTGACGCTGGACAAATTTGCTCACACACCAATTGAAGGCGCTATAATATTTGTTGTATTAATTTAAGGCACTCTTTGGATAAAAACAGTACATTCACTCTCAATGAAATCAAAATGAATCTGTTGGCTTTCCTCGGTGTTATCCATTTGAGCGCATCAACTTACGACCCAAAATTTATGGATTTTTTAAAAGAAAAACTTGGTGACACTAACGTTACTGATATTCTCTATCAGGTAAGATCTGAACTACTCTGCACGAATATTATGAATACGTTATAAATTTAAATTTAATTCCAACTGTTCTCTTGTCTGTGACACGTCCTATTATTCTCGTCTCAGTATAGACGTAGGTACCCTGTAAATGTTTCTTTGACAAGTGTTCCTGTATTAGCCGTGTTCCGAGTCCGTGTCCATATTTCTTGTTTGCTAGTTCTGAGACTCTCTTCAGTCTCATGTATCGTTTCTCCCAGCTCTCTCCAAAGTGCAAGCGCTTGCTTCTCCGCTGTAGCTGGTCCGCTCGCCGCGTCTCATGTGACAAACTGTTCGGAATGAGACTCACCGAGTTCGGCTTCTGTTGCATCTTTAATTCAAGATATCTGTATGTTTCTTTTTATGATAACTTACAAAGGATTACGTTGTATTTTTGGATTGGGAGACCGCATTAATGTTTTACATTGCTCATAGATTTGTGACCTGAATTCTAGAGATCTATTTTATTCTGATGAATTCAAAGTACGAATGTTAGTGTGTAGAATTAAACATTAAAACAAAATGATAATTCAAACAATAGATCTATGTAAATAACCAAAGTCAACTTGTTTATGTTAACTGAAAAGTTGATTGATTCATGAAATTGTTAATAGGCGTTCAGCAGAGTATTAGTTATTATCGCCCTTTTTAAAGGTAGTAAGTATAATTTCAGTTTGAAATTCTCAGTTTATTACCGAATAAAGTACCGATATACATATGTCAATATAGATGAATACCTACCCCCAAAGTACCTACTGTTCTCCTTTAAATTACATTAAAAATTCAGCTCCATAGACAAAAACAACTCAGTGTTCAGAGCCACGAGAATAGGTCCTGATGAAGGGCTTCAGGTGGTCCTCAGAGACAACTCACAAGACTTTGTACGACGTGTACGACCTTCTAACGACGTTCAAGTATGTCTCTCTTCTTATCACTAAGTCGTTTAGTTTAGCTTAATAAGTTAAACGTGCCAATTCTTTGTTACTTTACTAATTAGTCTTGTGTGTGAGAACACGTGTGGGAAACTTCGCTTTGTATATCAATACAGAGATCTCATATGTCCCCTCGAAGTATGTTAAACATTGTAAGGATGCCATATAATTTATAAATTTTTTCCATCCCTTCTTTCTATACAGGGTTTAAAGAGCTCCTTATAACTACAGATAATATTATTCGACGGCACTCAGCACCCGCTGGCTCGTGCCGGTGTGATCCGCGTGTACTCGTCAGGTCGGAACTCCTCCGTGTTCCTCTCACTCCGAGCCCGCATAACACTCGCGGACCCTGAACTAGCGGGGTACGAGGACGCCTGGGTAAACAGAACACAGACATCGATGATAAACAACTCAATATTTATTTATTTATTTGAGGAACCCCAACAAAAGATACACAGTATACAATTTTAGACTAATCAATATTAAATATTACAGAAATTTGTGCTCTTTCAATTACAGGAGACCACAGCTTGCTAATTAAATATGACTACGCGAAACGATATGAATTTATAGTTAAAGTTAAAAATATTTAAAAAACAAAAATATTAAAAATAATTACATATGTATATATCCTGAATTTGTTTAAAAATATGAGCTATGTAAGGGGTATATTTTAATCTGAAGCTGTAATTATATACGGTGGCAACCGGAGATTCCAGGACTACTACGAAACTTACTTATATGTATATTACAATGAGAACTACACATTAAAACTTTTAACCTACACCTAAAATTACATGATTGCCAGATGTTAGGTTAGATGTATATATATATAACATCCCATATCTTGTGTGGTATCAAGAATCTTTTGGTTCAGACGGCTTCAGCAGCGTTTCTTATTATGTTATATTTTATCCCTACAACGATGGTACCCCGGCGATTTTCGATTATTGTTTTCATATGTATCGCGTACGTAGCACTGTTATAATTAATGCCTATATCATTGTTATCAACCAAATGGGAAGTAATTTATGAATGTTAGATTAAGTTGTCAGTATAACTCTTCCCCAGCTGGGTTGTGGTTCACGTTCCTGGTCTCAGTGTGTGTCTGAGTGTCGAGCTCGTATGTTGAGCGCGCTCTGTCTCTGTACTCCGTTCGGCCAGACGACTCACACGATCTGCTCACTGGAACATCTCGAATGTTTGGCCAAATATAGAGGTCGGGAATGTGCACTTTAGAAATCACAGATCGATTTGTACTTGTTTCATTTAGGTTGTTTTACACAGAGAAACTGAAGTACTTCTACCCGGGAGAGGACGTTCATGAAAGTCTGCGAGAGGAAAAAGCTAACGCTATCCATTGCGAGCACTGCATCCCAAATTGTGACGCGCGACATTACTCCGCGGACATGGACCTGGTGCCGTACGGAGAACACAGCGACAAGATACATCGAGACAATTTTATGTATGTATATTTGTTTCTTGTTTTATTCTTATTCGCCATATCAGAGCGTTTTCAGGAAATGTTTTAGTACCAAAAATGTGTAAGAAAGCAAATGGAATGTCCTTGGGCCACTATTTTAATAACTAAAATTTCAGTTTGAGCTTTCATACAAAATATCACCTTTTTAAATGAAACTAATATTTTCGGATTTTTACTTCGCATTTTTATTTTTGATAGAGACAACATCTCGTCTGACCGTGATCACGGTTGCTGAAAAGTAGCCGAAACATCGGGAGTGTGTAGTTTATAATCAAAACTAAAAACGCGAAGTAAAAATCTGAAAATATTCGTTTCATTTAAATGCGTACTCGAGAAAATATTAGATCTCATAATATCACATTTTTATTAAATGTTTCAGGCAAGGTTTGACGCACATGAACACCTCAGTGATCCGCGTGTACTTCAGACACAGTCAACAGGAGATACAAGTGATAGAGCTCAACCAACGCTGGTACGAGTTGTTAAGTGAGTATCGACTTATTCAACATGAAGGTTCTCCCTATCCACTCCAGTTCGATGTAATATTTAATAAATAATTTCAATGTTTGTGTACCATAAACCTTAATGTATGAGTGTCCTCTAGATATGATAACGTCAGTAGTATTAGTTAGTAATGATGTCAATACTACAGTATCTCACAGCAGCCTGGTGATGTCCCTGGCTGGTGTGACGGCCGTCAGTGTGACCGAGCTGATGTACCACGTGACTCTACTGTGGATGAACATACATCGCAACACACGAACAGACTTCTAAAGAAATACAGTACACTAAGGCTTCAATGAATATTGGCTAAATTACGATAATGTCACATCGTTCAATGTGTTATATTAATGATTTAATAAAAGTTTCAAATGCATGGCACATATATAATGGTATAATTATCCCTGCTAATTTTGTAAATGCGAAAGTAACTCTGTCTGTCTGTTACGCTTTCACGCCTAAACCACTGAGCTGATTTTAATGAAATTTGTTCCATAGATAGAATTGACTTTGAGAAAGAACAGGATAGTTTTTATCCCAGACTTTTGAAAGGTTCTCTTGGAAACGCGATATAACCGAACTCCACGCAGGCGAAGCTGCGTGCGGAAAGCTAGTAAATAATAAAATAGCTACGATATAAAAAATAAGATTTTTTTTATATAATTTTATTAAGAAAAATAAAAAACTATTATTTATGTAGGAACAGTAAATAAAGTAACGAGTGAAGTGACTCTCGATAATATAAAAAAATATGTAATGTGTTGTTAGACTCAAGATCTGTGTCAAGGATACTTTAATATTAACTGAGATGAGTGACGTTTGGCATTTGATACGGTCAGCGACACCGCGGCCGGAGATGATGTACTAGGAAGAGGTCACCATATATGAATACTATTAAAATAAATTATTAAGATTTAAGGAAGGAAATAATAATTAAGAGTCGCGTTTAGAATGAGACGAACTATTTATTACCTTGTAAACATAAACCTGTTTTTCTTATACCAAACAAAACCAAACCATAATATTTGCTTTTAAATCTCTTTATTAATGATTATAATGAAGTAATATTTATTGTATTAACACATCGGCTATTGAATAATGATTCAGATCTACGACGCTATTCTAATAATGAGTCCGGTCGAACCTTCGACTATAAAATGTAAATTTTAATATTGATTTATTTTTATCTTGTCTTCATTGCCGAAAATAAGTTACGAAAATCAAAAACTATTTTTGGGGATTCTTTGTTGTTGTGAAGTTCTTTTTATTTCCATTAAAAGTTTAATGACAATACACAAATATAAAAATAGGAATTTATATGAATGAATAACGGCGGATTGTATTTATTAAACTCTCAGTCTAGAAATCATCGTTATAAGGTTTAAAATTACTATTTATTATAAACCTGGTCGTTGGGTATTTCAGTTGATAAGAAGTTTGTCGGTGAGTCGCCTGTGATGGACGGTATTACCTGTATGATACATATAAATATATTTATAAGAAAAGCAATAAAAATTTTTGTTCATGCAATAGACACTTATTTCTTTATATAGATATTATATCGGAGTTCCCACTATTCCCATCCTACCTACTTTTTATTTTTGATATCGATCATTATATTCTAAGTGGTAATAGACGACTTTATTAAAAGGAATGCAAAAGTATTCAACGGTAAGAGCTATAACATACCCTATCCAAGTACCTGTTCCCCGATCATGATGAGGATCTGCGCTGCCTTCCTGATAGCCTCTAGGTCCTGTGGGGAGGGGAGAGGGAAGCGAGCGTCCCGCGCCTCACGAACATCCTGGAGACGAGAGGCTCTGGACATGACGCGAGATGATAGCTCTGAGGCGAGGGACTCGTGCTCCGGGAGAATCACTCGCTACAGACAACATACGAGCAGTTACTAACGGACTCATCATCATCAGCCTATCAGAGCACTCTCCTGAACAAAAGGCTTCTCACATGAAGAAGATTTGAGTATTAATAACCAGGCTTGCTTAAGACGGGTTGGTGATTTCAAACTTATAATTTGAAATTATAAGTCCAAGTTTCCTCATGATGTTTTCCTTCACCGTCTATCAGTGGTGTCTAAAAACCCTTAGAAAGTACATATGACTTGGATAAAACACATTAGTACTTGCCCTCATGCATGAGAGGCGAATCCTTTAACCACTAGGCTACATCGACCGGACTAGCAGATTTAAATGTATACTGTTCATACTTACAGGGTCGGCCGAAGTGTTAGCTATTGTTAGAACCACGAGCCACAGAATGAGTTCCCACAACATTTTCTCGTGGACTAAGATAGTTCTGTATCATCATAATATATGAATACAAAACTCTTCATCACAAACTACATAATGCTTACAATTTTTCAATTTAATCTAATAATGATGTTTCTCATTTACTTGGTAATGTCAGCATTCAATGATTATTGGTCAATCTGTATTCAGGGTCTCTCAATGTTTTATTTTTTCTAAATGATGACGAACGTATTTGATTTGCCTATTGACTGCTTCTGTATTTGCTATATAATAATATTATCAGCTGCTGGCCCCAGATTCATCCGGGAAAAGAAGGTCGTGCCTTTATTTGTAGGTGAGTAATAATTTTTATCTTCATAGTAATATTTTTACGTATTTCCCTCAAAATTATAACTATCAAAACACCTTCGTAAACTTCCAAAGAACTGGTCTTTAGTAAAACAAATTCATAGAATTCTGATAAAACAATACATATATTCTGTTAACGTTAACAAAAAAACCCGATTGTTTACCATTTTCTTGACTATAATATGGGCTGATTGTTACAATTGCTTGATTATCATTAGAAAAAAAGTGTTATTCTAATATATGATGATAGTGCCGAGGTCTACTTGGTCAATGTTAGTTAATTCCGTTTCTATGTTTGGTAAAAACAAGTATTTATTTAAGTTAAAAAAGTGTTTTGATTATCACAGTTTTTGATTTTGTATTTAATTAATTAAAAATAATAACTCATCTATTTATATGTTGTATATACAAAGTACTAGTTAATACAGGGTGCGCCAGAGAAACTTACTTATTTGAAAGGTCAATAACAAAAAGTACTTCAGTTATTGTTTTAATTTTTTTTTATTTGAGAATACAATATCCCAATTTTTTTTTTCATGCAGTCTTAAAAATGACATCGGTTAAATGGTGACCCCCATTGCGCATACACTGATGAAGTCGATTTTTGAAATTCGTATCCACTCTTCGCAGCACATCAATCGGTATGTTGCCAATGGCGTCGCGAATGTTGTTCTTGAGGTGTGCTATGGTCCGTGGTCAATCGACATAAACCAGAGAAATGTGGAAGTGAGCCTCGTCACTGAAAAAACGACCGCGTCTTCAGGCAGGTTGTCAATCAGCATTTCACATGCATTTTGACGGGCAACAAAATCGCGTTCAGTTAATTCTTGCACAACAGCCAATTTATAGGGATGAAATTGAAGGTCTTCATGGAGAATTCATCGAACAGTGGTATCAGAAATTCCCATAGCAGCTGCGTGTTTGCAAGCCGAACGCCGGGGAGAACGCACAACTGACTGCCTCACTCTTTCGATATTTTCCGGAGTTCTGATGGTCCGTTGAAGTCCATTTCTGGGTTTAGCGACACTTCCGAAATGATTTAAACCACGACAGAATCGAATTACGGCCAGGAACGAGTCTGTGAGGAGGAATTTCAAAGCGAGCGCGGAAGGCACGTTGCGTAGTAACAAGTGAGCGACCGTTAGAAAAGAAGTTCTCAACTGCGAAGGCCCGCTGCTCTCTAAACCAGAGCATGATGGCAGCTGACTGGAGGGAGAAACAAACTTGGGAACTTCCCCCTCCAGATGCGCCCGCTCTTGCCCCTCTACCCGCCCAACTCACCGCGCGGTAATTTTTTTAAATAAGTAAGTTTCTCTGGCGCACCCTATATTATACACACGAAGCGTTTCCCGTATCTAATATAATATCGTTTATAATATATTGTGATAAAATCTATGAATGAAAGACTGTTAACTCACCGTGCGTATTTTATATACTGTTCAAAAAAACATTTACTTTTACTTTACTTGTAATTTTTTTGTCCTGAACAGAATAATTAGACACAAAAAATGTATATAACACCTATCATTATACTTTATAAAAAATATTAAATGTCTTAATGGTATAACGCGAACACAATAGTTTTAAATAACATCCATGGAGCAGCCGGTCAGGTCAGAGGACCGATCTACGACATTGATGTTGACAATATAAATTGAAAATTGAATAAACATTCAATAATAATATATACACTAATGTCACCTTAATAAAAATCCCTTGCCTCATATCAATTAAAAGAAACTTGACACTTCTCCTTGATATATTATTCATAGAGGCGGTCACATTACAACACTCCACTAACTTGATTATTAATACTAACTAGTTACTTTATAGTTCTATGTTCGTTTAGTCCTAATCAATTTATAAAAATATAATTTTTATAAGACTCCGCTGTTATAATAATAACGTTACTAAGTGACCTGGGAAGTGTGACCTCTTGGTTTAATTAAAGACTTAGAGAACGAACAATCTACGATCAGATGACCTCTACTCGAACGAAGGCGATGTGAAGCGAGCAGGGATGTACAGACAGATACAGACTGTTAGTATTGTTATGACATACATACACATTAACTAAATATAATTATAATGAAAATATAATAGATTCATTAGGCATTGTATCCATGGATATGCGTAAGTCTTAGCATTAAAACAAGGCTTCTTTAAAAAATCAAAATTTTTAATATTGTTGCAGAACTCTGAATACATGGTGTTGAAATTGATACTCGTATATCGTTATAATTTCATGATACGTGACAAATGTTATTGACTTTTGTATTTATTCTTGTCACATTTAAACAAAAACAATTACTAAATAAGTAGTTTATGTTCAGTTAGTTTTAGTCGTGAGACTCTAAAATTCCTGGTATTCTATAACCGAGCGTCACTATGATGTGTATTTACATATAATAACATTGTCAGACTTGCAATTCCAAAATTGCAGCCACGGAGAGGGCGAGGGGAGGTTGGCGAGGAGGAGAGACATTCCTGACGCGCTTCAGAGAGATTCTAGAGATGAATAATTAAGATAATAACAGATGCTGCGACACCGCGTACAGACACAACTACCTGAACACTTACCAAGTATATATATAAAGTTCGGAGGAGGATCTAAACATTATCGTCTCACTAAATATTTGTGAATCAAGAGCTTGATTTCTTCTACTTCGGTGTTTTCAAGATTTCCAAATGAACAAAGTAATGTATGGAGTATGTTTGTGTTGTCCAAAACATGATTTAACCTTCAATGTTTTATAATAACCGTGATTATTTATATAACTGAATCTTTATAAGTTACATACAATAAAATCAATTCACGTTCGTTATGTACAGCCTTCGCAGTGTTATTTAATGTCTAGTGAAGGATTTAATAAACATAATGACATGTTATAAAATAATTTATTTGATTTATAATATTGAAAATGTTTTTATAAAATATATTATGAATACTTCCGAGGTCCTGGCTATTTATTTATCTCTTGCAAAAGATGTCTAAGCGTTAATCTTTTCAAGTATAGAATGTTAATGATAATCAGGAGGAAGTTAACAAAAGTAACAATTAAAACAATTTATTTTTTTACTCTTTATACAATAGTATAACAAATCATAGCGTATTTGTGAGTATCCTGCCTGTTACATCACGGTGTGTAACTTGTGTGGAATCAAAAGTATTTTAATAGGAGTAACGCTACCGTTTCATTAATAACTTGCCCACAAAAACTTGTACGAACAGGAGAACCGTCATTGCATCGACGTATTATTCTCGGTCCACTCCATCAGATAAAACTATCAATCATACAAATCGTTATCTATTATTCCTCCTCTCTTAATTAATACAAGACTCTCGCCAACAACATCTGCCGCGTTGTGGCTTTTTGGGTTACTAATTAATCATAAACAGTTTAGCATAATGTCATTATTTCACGTCTCGTTTGACATATTTTAATTAAACTACATATTATAGTTTAATAAAATGATAAATTTTTAATTAGAGTTAACATCAATTAATGACTCTTATAAGAACTGTTAACATATTACAACAATTATCGTCTTTTTTGTTCAATCATTTACTTAGTGTTTTAATAATATAATTGTATATAAAATATTACAACTTATATTCAGATTTTTTTGTGTTGTTATATATTCTTAATTGCCAAGTTTGCTTTCATAATAAAATAAAAAACACAGGTAGGTACTAAACGCGGAAGGATTCAAACAATCTTTTGGTCTGTGATGATGATGAAGTGATGCAGTTCCCTTGTCTGGAGACGGGAAAAATAATCTTAGAGTTCAGTTCTTACCTACACAGATGTATGGAGTTTTGAGTTTATAATTGAAACAGAAAATTAATATATTCATACCGATTACATTAGCCTCATTTCCTAAACTAGAACGTTCAACTTATTGAGTTATGTCTGTAATGCATTGTATACAGTATAGAGATGCAAGTCTTAAACAAAGATAAACGAACAATAGAGCTATTTGTACCTAATATTCAAATTAGCAATTTTATATTAAAATTGGCCAAATATTTGAATGTATCGGAAGTTGTAGCGAGGGTCGAGAGATCAGTTTGTGGCGTCTCCACAAGATCAAGGTGACGGCGCACTTATATAGTTAGCGGTGGCATGCGCCGGCGCAGTCAACATGGAGACGGCGGCGGCTGTCGGAGGCTGGAGGAGAACGAATATATGTGATCTGTAAACAATAGAACACTGACATACTGTGATAAACAAGTATAACTATAGTCTTAGGACTTAGTAAAAATAAAAATAAATAACACATGAGAGTAGTTTAGTAATATAGTATAGTGATGAGTGATGTGTCCGTCTGTGTGGGTGGTGGTGCTAGCGATGATGGTGATGATGTCTGGTGAGGGTGAGAGTCTCATGCCGCCCGTCTCCACCGGCCTAGAACAACTCGTGAGGGCGGCGTCTGCTACCTGTATGTTACACATATTATAATAGACTTACGACTTATAATTTGATAATTGAGACATTGATTTATAAAAAAAACATAAACAGTTTATTGCTTAAGGTCAAATAATGGAATCTTAACTAGTAGGATTATTCTCCGTCATACGAAGAGTCCCTTTCATGTATTGTATAAACACAAATAAGAGTAACATACGTTGTGAAGACTCTGAGATGCTATTGTATGAAAGGTTGTTCAAGAAAGGTAATAGAGTGTGGAAACAAGGAAACAATGAGCAGGAAATATTGAGGGATGTTTATGGAAATAATGATGTATTGGTTGTTGTTAAAACCTTTTTCCTGATTGCATTATTTATAATAATGATTGTGTCACCCGTTTGAAAAAAATAATCGAATAGTAAATTTTCATTTCTAATCATTCTTATTTGTTTTTACTTTTCACAATACACGTTTACATATCTATTCTTTCATCAAGTTTTCTTCTTCTGATCATCTTATAGTCATGATCTGCTCCACATCTTCCTGATTCTCCCTCCAAAGATCTTAATCCAACAGTTTCTTCCTGGTGTCTCCGGACTTCCTTCATTATGACTTGTCTTTTTCTTCTCACATAAAATCTATAATGAATATATCGGTGTTAGGATCGCCAACCAACACTCGTAACGTTGTGTTTATATTGTGTTATTAATTACTTAAACATATTTAATTCTTTCCACCTAACAACATCTCAACTCGACCCTGTAGGTATTTAATCTGATATTGTTTATATGAATGAATTACATAATGTTCTGTTTTTTTTTCTTACATTAGTTTTGCCTTTAACGTTACACAGATCTCAATATCATGCTACAATTCTCACACTATTAATAAATGAATATATGAATGTAAGTGTTAAAGCGACTCAGTGATTGTCATAGTTGGTTTAACTATTAAAATACACTTGTTATGTTTTTTGTTTAACGTCTATTACGCTCCGTCATTCGTACCTCGTGTTGCAAGGTTCAGTAAAACTAATAGTTTACGTTTCCAAGTCTCAGCCGCACGCGATGCGGACGCGGCCATTAGGATACGTCTCGGCTTGTGGGAATCAGAACACTCCGTACTGTCATTAAAACATAGCGCACTGCACTCGCTACCTCCCACTAGCGAGGGTAACGCATTATAAAAAAGAATCAGTCGATTAATCTTAAATTCAACTCAAAATAATTACTTCAAGGTCGTCTTTGAAGATCTGAATGGTCACTTATAAAGATAAGGCTCGGTTTGGGAAGCTGTTAGTGTTAGGAAGAATTGTAATGTTCATTATGATTACTTAAAATATGAGTGAGGTTAAAACTGCCGAGCTCCGAACACAATGTTTCGTGATTAAACCTGAGTCGTGTTAATAATGATGATTATAAAACATTCCTCAGAGTCGACCGACGACCGGCTGACTGTCACGTTCAGAGACTACAAACAGATACAGAACATGCTTAATAGACACCTTCAACTATTTATATAATATACTAGAATATTTGACAAATATACACGATGCACTATCTATCTTTAAATATTAGGTTTTTGCTGATATTTTTAAGATTTTTTTATGTACTGCGAGGTTGCTATTTCATAAAAATAAAAACAACTACATACAATTATTTGTGATTTTCAGGTGATGCTCTGCCTCTAGAGCTGCTCTATAGTTGGTCGTCGATACCTGAACTGGAGTTCTATGAGTATTCTGAGGAGGGGAAAAGGATCTACAAGCTGTCCAAGGCTCACGTGCTACTCCGACGTCGACTGCCAACAGAGCTCGTCGTCTACATCCCGGGCTGGTGGAACACACCCACTGATGAGTCCTCGCAGGCGCTGGTGAAGGCTTTGTTACAAAAACATTACTTGATCCTTGTATTGGACACTCGCGCTTCATTCTGCAGAGGCTACGTCGGCTCCGCTTCCCGCGTCCATGGAGTAGCTCAGAAGGTGTTTAAATTTCTTAAAAACATTCAAGCGGAAGGCTATCCGCTCTCATCAGTACATATGATCGGATTCAGTCTAGGAGCACACGTGGCCGGCGTGACGGGGAAGTTGGTTCAGAGTCGATTGAGTGGCAAAGTTGGAAGAATAACGGCGTTAGATCCCGCGAGACCTTGCTTCACCCGGTCTACTGAGTATAGACTGGACAAACACGATGCCAAGTTCGTTCAAGTGATTCATACAAGTGCTGGTGTGTTGGGTTTGGAGTCCCCGCTGGGTCACGTGGACGTGTACGTGAACGGCTTGCTGGTCTCTCAGCCCGAGTGCCGCGAGCGAGCGGTCAGTCTGGAGTGTGACCACGCACAGTCTTGGAAACTGTTTTCGTCCTCGGTCACCGACAGCCGCTCCTTACTGGCAAGGAAGTGTAAGAACTGGCTCGAACTCAACAGCGGGCAGTGCAGCGGGAACGAAACAATCTTAGGTTACACGTGCAATCCAAAAATAAGAGGAATGTTCCTCTACAGATCACAAGAAGTCAGAACTCAAATGTGGGTGTTCAACCCCTTCGATATAAAAACTTGGTTTTCGAGATAAATAATAGATATTGTATGTAATAGTTGTTGTTATAAAGATTTCGGCTGTATTATTTGTAAAAAGTATATTTATTAAGCTTTCAGGTTTAATTAATTATTACTTTGTTTGTGAGTGTGAAGAATAGTTCATAATTTTATACTTTATTGGATTGTATAAAAATTGCGATTATATATGTGCACTATAAAGAAGAAATTGCTGTAAAACTATTTACTATTCAAGACCTTTGTAATAGCCAAAATATTATCACAGTGTACGGTCTTTGGATAGTAACAATGTTTTCATGAGTCGTGTGACATGTTAGTCTTCCTTGAATAGACGCCAATCTGTGATATTTTCATAAGACGTGTTTCGTTGGTAAAGATTGTTATCACTTAAATGTGGAGAATTTAACTTTAAATTCTACGATAATAACACATACAGGGAGGGACCAAAATATTTAATGAGTGAAAAATTTTTAACATACTTACTTCTTGATATAATTTTACAATCTAACACTTTTTTCTTTTAATAAGGTTCTCTATTTATTACAACTGTAGTTATTTATAATACGCTGAAAAATTGGTGTGCTTTTTTTTTCAATATTGTAATTAAATAAAAATTACTCGACCATAGCGACATCTACCAGCTAATTTAATCATGATCATTATAATTTCCTATAAAGTGAAGTGTAGATAGTTCTAAGACTTGTACATAGATGGCGCTATAGACAAAACCTACATTTTTAGTTTGAGGTGGGACATCATTTAACTGTATAATTAATTAATTATTCTTTAACTGTGATACTTTCGCTGTAATTATTTTCTTTTCAAACGTTTAATTTGCTGGTGTATGCGTGTTAGTATGTCTTTCAAATTATGATATTATTTAAATTGTTATTAAGTATAATATGAAATAATTATAAAATGTATATCTAATTAGATTTTATTAATGTAATTACAAGTTTTAAGTTTCTTTGTGTAGTACATCTTTCTATTCGATCCTATATATTCTTTGAAGTCTGATCGTTTTGTTATTTCCTCTGGTTGTTTGTTCTGAAGCCTGTCTCACATACACGACTTGATCCCCCTATATATTATATTATTTCATATGTCAGGAGACCTATTATATTGAAGAAAAATGTAAGTTCCGTTATTTATTTTCTTTACAAACGATGGTTTATATCATTCAAAAACCATGTTATTTATTTTATTGAATGTAATGTAGCGTTTTGTTAATGAAAATAATTGAATAATATTAAATATTGAATACATCGTGCAACACATGATTTGTAATTTGTAATAAATACAAAAGAATTATTAACATTTTATTTATGAACATTTTACCCGACACAATGACATCTATGTTGAATGTTGATATTCTAAATGTTTGAAGTAAGTCAACTCCACGGACGGACATTTTCTTCTTTTGTTATTACTAACGGTGTAACATGCCGTAAGCAGTTTGTTTTACTTCCAAAATAAATTTCTCACAAAACTTGTTTCAATACAAAGAATGTTTAGCGAAAGTTATAAAGGTTTGTGAAGATTTAAATAAAGCTATGATTTTAACTAAAATTAAAAGATGTTTGGAAGTTGAACTTACGTAAAACATTACGTGGAATTAAATAATATTTACTTTGCAAATAGTGTTTGTGTCACTGGTTTCACTAGAGAAATCCTTCATCTTAATTAGGACTCGATTTTTCTCTGCCAAGTTGAATGAGATATATTATATATGTGAAGTAGACCACAGTTATCATTACTCATTCTTTTTCCTCTTCGTTTCGTCTAGTTCAAAGTGGTGATCGTCCCAGGGGAGACGCGACACATGAACCCACTTAGAAATTAGAGACGAAGCATCTCATCTTACTGAAGTTTTTAAACATTGTTGTTCCCTAAATTCACTTGCATATTTTTAAGAGGGAATTTTTCGTAGCTACTGAATTCTTGAGGAGTGAGAGGAAAGTGAAATGAGAGCCTTTTGTTATCAATAACCTTCATGACGTCATCGAGATGCGTCCGCCGAGTTTGAAACATTAACGCAACGATCAAGACGGTCGAGTGACGTCACACGAGTTAATGACGTCACAGTTTGATAGAGAATTAAAAGTACCTAGTAAATGATAATTAATATTGCTATTAAATCGGTTTAGAGCAAGTTGTGACCAACTTCCCAGTACCAACATACAATTGAAAAAAAATAAATATGTAATGATAATATAAGGACATTAATCTGATGTATGAATGAGAGGAGTGGATGTTGTCGGAGGTGCATGAGGGGCATCTTGACAGGCGGAATAAATATATGAAGACGTAGAGCGGGCGGTGGAGGACATACACGAGATTAATGGAGAGAGATCAAACACACACCGCCCGCAGACAGAGACGGGCGCGGGGACTAGCTGGCTGAGGAGAGGAGGGTGAGATGATATACTGAGGACGGCTAGCTCGGGGTACAATGAATGCTCACTGTCTCCGTACCAAATGTTGTTTGTGTGGCAAAATTAAGGAACTCGTTAATTTTTCTACATCATTTGAATGCTTCGAGTGGATAAAAATAGTAGAGAAACATAATTTTAACGCCAAAAATATGTATAGGATGTTTGACGTTAGTGTCAGTGTATATAAAATGTACGAGTGAATTATTTTATATGTCATCTCCGGTCCGCGTTCCTCTCCATCTCCGGGTCACGGCTCGTCTCTCACTTCCCGTCTCAGCGAGTCTCCGCCCTCCTCCACTCTTCCCAGAACCCGCTCTCATACAACACTATATATAAAGAACGTGTCAGTTATTAAAGATTCCTTGTAATAATTTGATGTCGGGGCTCCTCGTGTGATGTAACCACATTAAGACTGTAATTAGTTCCAGAGCTGGCCGCCGTTCTTCCTCATATAATAATCGCCCGTGACAATGTCTGTCGGAGGTCGTGGCGTGCCGTGTCAGCTAAGTACACCTTATCTGTAAGTAATTACAGGGAGCGGCGTCGATCTCACTAGGACCTTATTAATTTCCCTTGTAATTAGCGCGGGGCGATATTCTCTGTTATTAGAGAGAATGCATTCATAAATATATCACAAGCAAGGGGTCACGAGGCGGCCTGATCGATACGCCGCGAGGTAATTAATTATAATAAGTCCCTTGATTTCATCGTTGAGATACTTGAAAGATTCAAACACTCCGTACTGGGAGCGAGGTGCCTCTTGAACAGCTCACGCTCACTAAATACATATAATCAGTTATAATTGATGTGATCCGAGTGTGTGTGGACCGGAGGTGACGTGTGACGTACTGCTGCGACACGTCCTCCGGCAACCTGGCCCGCCACGGACACAGACACAGACACAGGCCGGTGTTGTGTGTGTGTGTGTGTGTGTGTGTCTGTGAGGTAATGCCCTCACATTCGCGTCCCCCATTCGAACCGTTTTATTGTTCGACATGTACTTTACATAATATGTACTGATGATGATAAATGGCTGCCGAGTATTTCCATACACGAGAAACCTCTTTTATGCCACATACATAGACGAGCATCGGCACAACAGCCGCGACGTCGCATGCATATGTATCGATTATAACCTCCACAGCAGATTGAACTCTGGGGCTCACACAATAAGGACCGGATTGTACTGATGCGGAGATACAATCCGTCTGTACCTGATAGTTAGGGTTGAACCAAATATGAAACAGATAAACAAACAGCACTCAGTTTACTTTAGCCACCTGGGAATATAGTGACGTTAGGCCTCGAGCTGGCGGAGGGACTTGGGAGGCCTGGGACATGGCTGAGAGGAACGGGAGGTCAAGGATGGGACGGTGTTAGTGGCGGGTAATGTCATTACTGTAGTTGATTAGATTCAAGGGTTGCGTCTCCAGATCTTTTTCAATAAACACCATCCGTAGTCGTCGCCAACCCTACCCGTTGTGTAGTGTGTAGTGTGTAGGGCGCACCACACCACGGGCGCTGGCGGACTCAGAAAGACTCAATTATATTTTGAGGCACGTTTCAGGCATTTCAATTTTATATCCGCCGGCGAGGCGAGCTTTGTTCTGATCGGCTTTAGATGACGCGGATATTGGATACTTTTATATTCCACGAGTTTTTATATTTCGCACGAACACAAGAATAGGGATCACTTGCGGGAGATTGTTGTTTGAAAAAGGCTTATTATTATTATGATTTACTTTCGTTCACAGCGGCTTAGCAAAATAATAAAGAGCTTTGAGATCATGGTGATAATTTAAATGAACTATTGTACTGTGGAGGAATAGCGACCAGTCGAGCGACTGATCCAGCGACTAGTCTAGCAACTGATCTAGCACCTGCCGATACAATGTCGATTGATGAAACTTGTGAGTTAATAGTGTTTAGTTCGTTGGAACTGTTTAACATGTGTGTTATATATGGCGCACATTTATAGAGAATTGTAACACTGTGGACTGTTGACATACTTTAAATAATACGACACAAGTTTTATCAGCACGTTCCAGTAACCTAAGTATAAGTCGAATCTTTCGTTCCTCTTCGTCTGTTCTCGTCTCTTCAGTCGCCATCGCCAGGTGTTCTCACTACCTCTTCAACAACACACGCATTACATAATATTATTTCATACAAACTGATCCGTATCACTGTAACGGAACCTGAAACAGTTTCAAACAAACTAATTAATATTAAATACTACAATTAAAAGTATTTAACAAACTGTTAGGAGACACTATGACATCTGTGTTATTACGGTGAACTGCACCAACTGATAAAATATAACTAGTATTCAAGCAGGCGAGAAGGAACCCTAAGATGAGAGTGTTAGAGTCGAGATTTATTTGTACTAACAGAAGTAATATTCAGTGGTATTATGGAGCGAGCAGCGACATGCGAGCGGCGTATCGCAAGTCCCCTCATTACAGATAAGGTGTGATTACAGTAATGAGACCTTAATGACCGGACGGAGGGAGCGGGGCGAGCTCGGGAAGAGGTGGTGTAATAAACAAATAACATTATTATAACCTAAGATACTATTGTTAAACACAAGCTAATATAAACAACGACGATGTCGGTGAAAAGAACTTCAAAGAGATGCAAAGATAAGTCTTTTATTATGGTAAGCAACTGGAACTGTTAATGTTACTCCGGTCGAATGTTGCCCGCTCCCGCTACCTCCTGTATAATGTGTCCTACATGCTAATTCTTTCAGAGCGCCAGCTGTTATTGTCAACAAATTACCGACGTCGAAGCAGTCTCAGGGACAATACTCGGGACCTGGAAGATAACATTTATGAAGATCTCTCAACCGTGCGAGCAGCTTCACAACGACTCAATATTCACTTATGATCATATCGTATTTTAAAGACACGATTCTATAAGATATATGTTTTGCAATGTTCCAGAAGAAACAAAAAATAATTTGTCTCTTTTCGAAGGTAATGTTTAAGGGAATATAATGTATTTATTTTAATAGTTTGGTCTGTGTATGTATGTATGTCTGTATGTGTGTGTGTGTGTGTGTGTGTGTGTGTGTGTGTGTGTGTGTGTGTGTGTGAGGCGCGGAGTCGTCGCGAGGAACATTCCCTTTGAACGTCCGCAATTAACATAAAACATTTTAAAACAGCACCGCGGGCGACTGTTTCCTTTAATACTCCTTGTATTAGTTTTACTTTGAGCTCTATATTTAGATCATAAGGTCCACTTTCCTACAAGTCCCCTCGGTCCTCGTATATCAGCCGAGTAACACCTCTAATAGCCATACGTTTTTGTTACACGGTTCCGATGAGATTTAATTGATCTCCATTGATCGTATTATGTAGATCAGAATATTGATTTAATTGTTGTATTACCCGGGAGGGGACCGTCAGCGTGTCGAGGCTCGTGGGGTGAACTACAATGGATCGTCTCACAACTTGTCGCCTCAGTCGGAGCAGTATTCTATGAACGTGTTGTATTACTATGGATGTGGATCCTTACAATGTGAAACCTCTATTGTTATCTAAATCCTTTCAGCTGCAGCTCAGGTCAAACATCTTGTCAGCTCGGAGGCGTCGCTCCACCGAGCTGGTGATAACCTCCACTTCACAATCCTCGCGTGAAGACCGTTCCTTATAATTGATGACATTTAATTTCGTATTTAACATTTAGTTGCGTGTTAATTATTTAATGGCTGTAATTAGACGTCTACTATTTTAAAGTTAGGTCGTTAGAGAGAGCCGGCCGAAGAACATCAAACAGATCGTGAGCATTATAATGACGTTTAGAGACGTTACGACTTGGAATTGGCGCAGTTGTTGGGAGTTTAATACCAACAGTTGTTAATATGTCGACGGATTTAATTTACGGGCTGTACTGACTCACTCACCACGTACACACAGACATACACCCAGACCATTGAAACTATGTGAGTACATCGCGATGTATTGACATATCGAACCTTACAAATGAATCGATAAAAAACATAGAGAGTTCAATGTAAAAAGGTTTCCCGGTACAGCGAGCACAAAGAACACGTTCCGTTAGAATACAAAGATAGAATGAAACATTATGATGATGTAGGATTAGTAAGAACGGACTTAGAGAGGACGAGGCTGGAGCTGATGCTGGAACAGGGATGAGATCCGCTGACGAGCACCGATATAACGAGACACGATAAACTAGTTCATGGGATAAAGATACCGAGCTCATGTTTGGGTTCAATCAACGAAAACATCTGCTGGAAGTAGTTTATAAACTAACGATGACTTCAAACTTGTTCGGATTCTCTCTTACATTAGACACGCGGTATGGAAGCGCAAATATTAAATAACGATTGTTTTAAAGAATGTTCAACATTTCCCATCATTTGTTGAAGAAATACTACAAATATGTGACACATTCCACGTCCTCTTTGAGTATTTTGATATTCTTTTATGAAGATCGACCTTCCGTTAGTTTTTACTTCACCATTTACAAAAAGGATTTTTCTCTTTGGAGACTTATCAAATATATTTTTACTTTTTGTTACCGCACCACTCGGCTCATATATAGCTTAGGATTTGGGAATTAAGCTACGGGTTTAAAATATTTTAAGCCATTTCAGATTATAGAAAAAAGTGCAATACAATAGTCTTAAAAATAAAAAAAGTCTAATGCACTTTTGGAGAAAAATATATAATGTACTATAACTGACTATAGAAATTCATTCGTTATTCATTATTCTGAAGAAATATACATTATTATTACCAATTATGAAACAAGTAGCTAAGAAATAAATACTATTTTACTTTTTATTTATCGTTTTGAAGTAATAAATGCTCGGTTGAAGTTGAAGTTCTTGAATAAAACTTAAATATTTTTATAATGTCTCTCCCTTTCATCAGTTCAGCTCGACGTGATTTTCATTATTTAATATACAATATGTGTATTGTGCGAGCGTGCCGTACTTGTAATACAAACAAACAATTCATAAACATGCGTTATGAGAATACAGAAACAAATTTTAATATGATTGTATTAAAATCGTGATTAGTTTGACATTCAGTGACACCACAGACCTCTTTGCACGACAGGATTGAAATAGAGACAGCTTTAATAAAGTTATTTTTGTTAAAATATTTCTTAGTGAAATTAAAATTATTTTCTATGGCATCCTTCTCCTCTGACTTAGTCTTATTAAACCGTCGAATAAAACGACCCAACCATCTTTATCGCTTGTTACAGATTGTTGTTACTTAACGTTTTGTCCACTGACCACTCTTCTACCCTGGATGTCAAAGGATTTCCTTTATATCCTCTCATTTCTCATTAGTGTTATGTATCATAATACTCTCTCACTGAACATTACCTCATCTGTTCCTATCTACTGAGTATATTGTAACCGTTCAATGTATATAAAAAGAATGCTTTTTATAAAGTGGGTTGTCTTTGAAGTTGACCTGATTCTCCCGATATAACATCACCCTCGGTAGGGACAGGGAAACTCATATAATATACATCTAAATATAAACAATTAATAGTTGAAGTAGTCTACTACATGGAAATAAAGGTTTTACGACGCGAATAAACGATGTAGCGTCGGTTTGCGATGCGGGTGTTTGAAATACATGAAAGGTGATAAAATCAAATCGTTTTAGGAAAAAACTAACTGCCAATGAAACATATCGCTTAGTTAATTGACATGTACATGTGAGGTTGACTTACAAAATAAATTGTTAGTATAAAATCACAAATGTTCAATGAAATTTAAATATCTCAGTCATTGTATGGACGGTCACTACCTACTCTTAATACTTGTCATTATTTTTGACTACAAAACTGTCAACATTAAAGTTCTGTGAATTGAAAACTCTCAAACTATTTGTATGAAGTTTAAACCGTCGTCCACACGTACACAGGTTACGTGGATCGAAACAATTGAAACGCATGAACGTGAAATAAACGAACACAGCGCGTCGACCGGCTCGTTAAAAACACAATCAAACTCAGGGCGATGTAATTAAAACGAAATGGAGGATTGGAGATCGCGGCACATAACATACTATTATTGGAAACCAGTTTGAAAAAATACGTTCCTATTAATGAATAGACGACTGTTAACTACTACTGAAAATACATGAACTACCTCCTCAACGACAGGGCTCTACAACATAACTCACCTACACCTACCACGAGTATAACAACAAACATTGTTACTGAAGAAGTTATGATTAAAAAAACTGTTAAAATTAATAATGAAAACGAGCCGAGCCTCTCTCGACAAGATGTTTCACCATTAATTACGTTTAAATTAATTGATGACTTTTCGGAACAAAAACGCAATTAAGGTACAATTGCTTTGAAACGATCGAAATGACCACGAAAATGAAGTAAAAGGTATAACGGACAGGTTCATGTAATAAAGCTATCCGTCGTTTCTTTTTGCTCTTGAATTACTTTCTATTGTTGGTACGTTTACTGCTCTCAATAAAAACTTTAGTGGCCGTAAAATAATTGATGAAACGTTCTTCAAATGACGACGATCAGTTCACCATCAGTCCTGGTCCGTGTGATCGTATCACTGATTGTTGTCAGATGCTCCAACAGTTAATGAGGTATTTCGTGAGTAACAACAGCGATTTTTTCCTGTTTTTCTGTCTCCGACAACGATAAGATAATCTTTTTAAAACCCTCTTTAGCACTCTACATGTATTCGTATATTAAAATTCACAGTGCGTTTGTTCAAAATGCACCCGAACTTTTCCTTATCAACCCCTTTTTCTCATCATTAAAAATTACGCATTACTTTCAATAAAAATGGCATTTAAATGAGGGGTCCCATTAGGAGTCGAGTCACGACAGCGTCACGGAGACGACGCGGAACGAATCCCAAATGATGAAGGGAAAATACTCCATAGAAATATGTTAGACCCCCCTCGACCCCCTCCGACCCCCTCACCAACAGTATGGAGGGATTATAACTGTTGGATCAGGTATGAGGCACGAGGAGACTGACGGAGGCCGGATCACTGCTTTAATGAGGACTATTTGATAAGTTAACAAACATTTTATAAGAGGGGTGGATCACAATACAAAGTTTAATTTAAAAGAGAGGTTGGACCGGTATGATGCAGGTTGTTATGTAATATAAGAATACTATCAGAGAAACCTTACATACATAGTAGATATAGTTCTCTGGAGACTACAGAGGTAGGAGGGTGGGCCTTTGATTTATAATAAAGATATTGTTTTTATATTTCCCATGACAACTTGATAAAATAATAAAAATAAGTTAGTTTTTGTAAATAACTATATGTTATAGAAAATCCTTCCATCGAGAGATTACGGGTGAAAAGAATATAGCCTCTGACTAAGGGGATTTATTTTGATTGTCAGTTTAGTATAAGGAGCCGTCAGCAGCAGGTGCGGGGTCCGAGATGTTGAACATGACGGGAGGAGGAGGGAGGAGGAGGCTGGAACAGAGATTAAAGGATTACCGGGGAATAAAACATATGCAGTTTATGTATTGTTAAAAATGAACTTCATAATTCAAAGGGAATAATTATGCTCGATATGCTTAAGTGTACATAATGGTGCACCAATTAATAGTACGTAACTAGAGTAATTCATCTGTAATAGTTGTCTAAGCGACACGCCGTTATATAAATGGCACGTTACAATGTTAGCAACATTTGTCACCCACTCACCCACACTCCCATACAGTCACACAGAGGCGGTGTGAACTATTTTGGACACATTGAAGACATCGGACACGGTGGTTGTGGCGATGGAATACGATATTAGTTAAGGAAGGCATCGCGACTGCAACATCTGCGAAATACTAACGCACGCAACTGAATCGCTCCTCGCCGTAATTATAAGCGGCTCGAAACCATCGTAATAGCATTAATATGGCCCGCGGCGAACACCAGCCTATTACGACGGCCATAGAGTCTAATATGGAGCGGACGGCCGTGCACAGTGGTATGGGGGTTTGAAATCCAGCACAATGCCGGCAGCCGGCGAGACAGGTCGGTTCTCACAAAGGCTTATAGAGAAATAAAATTAAAAAAAATGCTTTCATCTCGGATTGACGTTCAGGTTTTTATAACGGGCTGTTATTACGACTTATTCGCTACAAAGGGGCCTCGAAAGTTTCATCTGGTGCATCCTGTGTCTAGTGTACTCGTCTCCCGCCTCCCGCCTCCCCGCGACTTGAATTATTTAGATTTTCTTTTTAATGAAAGTTATTCTCGTGTTTTCTTTGAATTATTCAGAGGCCGGTCTCATCCTCGACTCTGCATATTCTTCTATAGGTATTCTATTTTTAAATACAATGCAGCAGTTAATATCTGTTAAAAGGTTTGATTTTACTCTCATTTATATATAAAATGTTTTGTTATAAAAACATCTTTTTCATTTCAATTCAACGTCACACTCGTCGTGTTTTGTTTTTAAGGGACGATGTAAGAAGTTAAAAATAATATTAGATCCTTTATAGTGACGGACAGGTCTTACAAGCCGGCCGCGAAATCTGTAATTTAATGTAACTCAATATATTACGTTTTTTCGTCATTATAATTAACTACCGCATCATAACTCTAACATACATCGCTGTTCAATAAACATAATTGTAGAACAGTCATCGAGCGGTCGATAGTTGAAATAGGAAAATGGTTCACTCATTGAATGTTAGAGATTACTGTGTGTCTTGGACCGGGTCAGCTGAATGAAACGATGGTACCATCCGTTGACACCACTCACACCACAACTGAAGCAGATCCAGGATACGATGAGGCTCCTAAAGTATTTACAATAGGTTTATCGGTTTTGATCAGATAAAACGCATTATTGTGACTTATAAGTGAGGGAAAGCGAATATTGAAGTAATTAGAAAGATTGTCTAATACAGGCAGGAGTTATTCTACATATATCAATGCATTACAAGCAATTCCTAGAGTCGATAGTTCACTTGTTCACTTCGGGGACCACTATACTTATAAATGCATTTCGTTTTATTCAAACTATCCACGGAAACTCGAGCCGCGCTCTCGAATTTCACCCTTACTTACAAAACATGTCTAATATTTATAATTGCTTCTTATCTATCTTCTTACTGATATTGAACAATGTTAATGACTAAACTTACCCAACCCACAACACAATGAACGTTGTGATAGAACTAACTTGAAGGTTTTTAAATATTCCATTTTACTTTCTGACTAAAAACAATAAATAGTTTTGTGTTGAATCTATAACGATTATTCATTCTGTGACGAACCCGAAATAGTTCACTAAAATAAATAGTATATTCAGTCGTACAGTTATCTTGATATGATGAGAGTAGGCGTGGTGTACATATTGGATGAATTAAATTAATCACGTTCATTATTGACACTAACTTTTGTTAATTCGCTTTATTGTATTACGAAAACATTTTCTTATTTAAAATATATCGCATACGATGTATTCAATAATTTATTGTAATGCACCAGAATATCGTTGTTTATACAGAAAGTTACCAAATTAGCATGTTTGAATAAATCATTGAGTGCTGTTGGTTATTACTGTATTGTGTAAGTGTAATGCGGACACCTTAGTAAGCAACGGATGACCTCCAGCGACCAAATAAACACAACTTTAACTATCCGTACATATTTAATAGTCATTTATTTTAAAATGAACAATTGTAATTTAATTCTAAAAGCGGCGTCAGTTGTCATGGGCGTGAATATTTAATATTGTTTCATGAACGTGTCAAACGAGCGTCTGTCTATTCGTGTCGATACTATATTAGTGATCAGTTCCATCGGAGATCAGCTGATTGGGATCCTGTCATCATATTCAATATTGTCTATTAATGTACACTGTTTTCGTAGAAGCGCCTTTTCCGTCGAATGAAACTCAAAGCTCGTTCATAAATCTTTCAAAGCTCGACCCACTTCCAAAAGACCCGACAGACAGCTGTGAAACGGTTTTCTTTTCAAATTCTCCGTGAAATATGATAGTTGGACGAAATTTATTTATCGTCTCATTGTCTCAAAAACTGCGTATCGTCGGACTATCGCCGCGATCGATCCTTCACAGGGTTCTCATCGACAGACTAAACAATAAATGTACGTATATTATAATATTTGTAGGCTGGGAGTTTGTATAGTGCGTACATATTTGCAGCTATAATTAGTTTTGGAGCATAACAATTATGCTAAATCCAATTAATCCCAAAATAATGTCTAAACCAACATGTTCAAAGGGCCCGGGCTCGTTGCCTTTGACGTGGGGTCCCCGGCGGCACCCTGAAGTGCACAGTTAGCGGAACAAAGCCATCGTTCGGGGGCAAATTGCTTTTTTTTGCTCTAAATCGGTCCAGCACAATACGATATTAGTCCCGAGCCGAGCCGAGTGTTATTGACGTGCGTCCGCTCTATGTTGCATTTAGGTAATTACTTTGAAATTTTTCAGAATGTTTTTTGTACAATTTAAGTTTCACAAAGAAATACATTGTCGTTAACGAAAAAAAAAACAGAACAGTGTTTCTAGTCTCTACACCGGAGCGGGTTCTGTTTGAGCGAACTTTTCATTATAATACTAGGCATTCATCGTCGTCATATATTTATTGTTTTTTCCCATACGGATACACACACGTACGGGACCCAGCTGTACCGGGCGATGTGCAATAAATAAGCTGTTTCAGGCAAATCGTAAAACAATAGCAGAGGAGGCTCCACTCCGACTGCCGCAGAAACAGCTTTACGACTATTTTTATAGCTAACAATTAAAAACTCGACTAACGACTATGTCGTATAAACGTTTTATTCTGTTATTCCAATCGTTATTGTTATATTCATCGCTAAACGACTGCGAGCCGTGATTGCTGTTGTGATATCTCCATCGGTTATTCAAACCACTTTTATTAACGACTCATTTTCGTCGAGATGGTTATTGTTTAAGAGATTTATTCACCGGAGTCACTCCGTACTATGTACACGACGCATTGTGTTTCATTTGAATGGGTATATAATATATGTTGTAAAAGTTTGGGGCCGAGGGACGCTAAGAGTCAGCTAGACGTCGAAGACAATCCATTATAACTGGCTCTTTTATAAGATTTAGTGGCAACCCTCATTAAATGCATTTCAAGAATCGGCGATGCCTCGCTTTGTTTGTTCACAAAACATTTATCTAAAGCCAGGCGAGCACAATGCTCTAGCCAGTTATTCGAGGGGCTACGGATTCCCAACTTTGCTTTTTTTGTACAATAATAGCAACCTAAGTTTTATTTCAAAAGCCCGTAAGGGGTCTGTATATCGTAATTTGAAATCCCCGTTCTATGAGGGACAGGTCCAGAGATCTGTTCTTTAACATTTTGTTGTATTATTATTATACATTGTTTCGAAAGCTACCTTTGATGTATTCATGTATTAGTCTGTATGGAGCCACTCGTGTTACAGCTTGTATCTGTAACATCTTATATTGAAGCTCGTCCTTCTGTTCGTGTTGTGAACCGATCGCTGTATGTAGTATGTATGTAGGAGACGTCGCGGCCGGAGAGCGGCTGGCATCGCTTCAACACTATTGCTTAATAACAATAATCCGTATCAGAATTTTTAATAGATTTATTCAAAGATCTCCAGCATAACGATGGTAGAGAGCCGTTTATTTAAACTAATTTGATTGATTTCGAATTATCAATCGATATCCCCATTAATTTAAAGTGAAATTTTGAATGAAAACTTCTTTTCTATGGCCATGACAATGTCAGTCCCTATGTCATGTTGCGTGGCCTTCATGAATATTCCGTTGTGGATGTATGGAATGTTTTAGAACGAATATCGCTGACCCAAAAGTTTTATCATCAAAATGTTGCAATATGCGGAAATTTGAAACTAGAACGCGAACAAATTTAATGTCATTTATCATCTTTTATAGATCTACTGCATTTTGTATAAGACGATATAAATGTTCATTTCGCTACATATGTACATACATACGAGTGACCTCCATATATCACAGTGCTGACTGAATAAAGCGGTTTATAGAATTTATATGAATAAAGCCAGTGCGATACTGACAGATCCCGAACTAAATGTGGTAAAGAGTTCATATACCCATTAGTTCGCAGTACTGCAATTCGTCGCAACAGGGTGCTGTATTTTTTATTCGGAGCTGAACAAAGAGGGTGTTTTTTTGTTGTTGTTATAAAAAGCTACATTTCCCGTGAACGATTCATTTCTCGATAAATTCATGTCACCCCACAACTAAAGCTTTCACATTCAAAGAGATTATTCTCAAAACATCCATAAATCCTATCCAAAGCCGCTCACAATAACTACAGAACTATAATGCATTTTTACCTGATAATAAAATATATGAAGGACGCACAAAGAGCTGACTCGCAACCTTTCTTATATACTACACAATCTCAGGAATTTAATTTCTTTAACATTGTTTGTGGGCGCCGCATTCCCGACTCGTGTTCACATAATTGTTGTCATATTATTCTCTGGATGAATTTCTCTTTTCCTTTCGCTCCACGGCCCGGTGTGTGTACTGTGTAGAGCGAGCGTCACCAAATACCTACGTTAAGTACTTTATAAACTGTAATATGACTATTGTTTCATATTTACGAGCGCGCCGCGGCCCGTGAGCCGTGATGCGGACTAGTGAAACAGTAATGTTTGTTGCATTGGAAATTTTATGGTTTCCTTTTAACTCGAAGGTACATTAAGTGTAACTTATAAAGCTAGTTCTATGTATTTCATTCCCGGGTCGAGTTATGTTCGTTTAAAAGTAGATTGTTCGGTACCAGCCAGGAGCAGTGTTTATGTGTGATTCCTCGGCGTATCGTTGTGTAATTCATTAAAAATAATCTCTCACGAAAGGTAATATATATTCATTAAAAATAAAAAAAAACACGTCCGACGATCCGGGGCATAATATTTCCTACAATAGCTCTTTTCATTAATTGATAAGTAGTCAAAGGAAATCTGAGTTTCGCTCAACTAAAAAACAACAAAAGGCGACTTATTGTCGCGCGATCGCGTCTGAAAACAACGGGGGGGTAAGAAGGAACCCCGGGGCAAATAGAAATAAGGAGCGGGGTCGCGGAGGCCCCGGGGAGAGAATAAATAAACTAGTCCGAGTTATACTGTCGTCACCGCGACCCTCATATACAATTATTAAATAAATTTCCTAAGCGGGTTAGATAACACGAACTGCGTTTCCACAGTAGGTACGGTTCAGTTTGCATTACTTTAATTGGATTAGGTTCCACTCGGTTCTCTCAGCGTTTCATTTGAACGCCGAGCTTGATGTATGTTAACATTTATATTTTAATTATAAATGCACTAGATTTGACTTCCTCGATGCCTGTTTATTCACCCGAGCCACTTCATTTTTTAATATGTTGAGGTGGTGAGTGAGGTGATGTCAATCTTTAAGCATCTGCGACACGTTTAGTCTCTGCCGCTGAGTATCATCTTTGTTTTATTATTCCGTGAACCGAGTCTCGTCAGGGGGATGGTCTTTGTATGTGAAAAATCTTTGTAGAATTATTTATCGAGGGCTTGATTCAAATGTTTCAGTGTCGCCGCTCCCCGAGCCCGCTTATCCTAAACCAGTTCTTTTTGCTCGAGTAGCGGACGGAGGACTCCGTGTGGAAAAATTTCAATAAATTAATCTTATAAAAGGGTTCGTGAGATACGGTCCGCGTCGCTGAACGAGCTGTTCACCAACCCTTCATTAAGATAATATGAGTGATTGTGAACAACACGAGAGACATTCCCGACGCTATGTTACATATAATGTATACGACTGGATGTATGTAATTACTTACAATTGAATAATCATTCTATGTTAATGTAATTATTAATGTATGTATTGGAAGTAATACAATTAAATGTGTCTCACCATGTTGCTTTGTATTTTAATAATTTCTTGTAAAATATTGTGCGTGTTAACTGAACGTTCTATGTTACTTTACATTTTAAAACAACTCTCACCGTACGGTACTTTATTGAAGGTTGTTTTACTAAAAATGTTTGTCCTCCACCGTTTACTCTTAATTACTAAAACCGGATAATTTTTCCCCAAATATGGTTTTATTTACGAGCGAGGCTCGACAGACCGCCTCGTACTGCACACTACATTGTCCGATAACAATTAAAAATAAACCGGCGACAATGAAGTAACGACCAACTTACTTGTGATAAATATTGGCAACGGTTTGGTTAGTGGAACGTTTAAAAACACTGCCGCGTTTCATAAATCACGTTTTATTAGTTTGAGAAGTCTCTCCGCAGATAACACGCGAAAATAGAATGAAAGAGAACAATGTTTTAAATTGATAGCTGTTGTTCTCGGAATACGAAGTCGCGGTAACGTTCATCATTTATCATCGACTCGAGAAACTAGTTCGCAGGAACTAGAGCCGTGACGAGTATGGAAGGAGCGGCCTCGCACAGAAAAACTTGAACCTACTGAGTACAGCACAGACTACAGGCATCCTGCCCCGCACCGGCCGACAGCATTGAAAGAATGCCAAGGGTTCCATGGAGCCGGAGACATTAGGGAATGGTACTACTTATTTGTTAATAGTATAAAGCTATAATGTATACATGTAGTGTAAGGACACAATTGGACACAATTCGTCGCGCGTGGGAACGTCACCAGCGATGGATTCTCTCCCTCTCTTCATGTGTCGTGATCACTCACGTTATTTAAGTGCCATCAGTTTGTTGCACCGTCCTCCGTCCTCCTCCGCCCTCGCGATACTAATCACGCGGGTGACGGCTCATCTCATAATTTTATCAAAGTGTTCGAATGTTTCAGGTGTTCAAAGAGTTCTCGTACGTGTATAATGTTCCGTGTAATGAACTTCGATATAAACGGTGTGTCGATACGGTTTGATAGTCACTACATGAGATGTTATTAGGTGAAGCAGCGTCGATGAACCGTGCCAGCTCTCTACAGATCCTGTCAGAGTGTCTCCAGAGCCTCTATGTAACCCCAGCCGCCGGGTCCCGGCCAGCGTCTCCATCGGTCCGCCTCGCTCGCCTCGCTCGACTGGCTGGACTCATGTTTCGTGGTTAGTAAACCTATACCGACACTATCATTACCTACGAGTCTACACAACGTTACATTACAATATCATATCTATATATACATATATCCTCGTGAGAACTAATGTTTTTGTTTTTTTTTTCTCTCTACCGTTTACTCATCGAGTAGAATCTATATTTAAATTCAAATTCATATATTACTACATACTACTACATATAGTACTCGCTTCGGCAGTACATATTATACTAGAATTGAAACGATACAGAGAAGATTAGCATGGTCCCTGCGCAAGGATGACACGCAAAATCGTGAAACGTTCCACGATTTTAATGATAGTTTGAGTTTGTATAAAAGTAAAATTAAAAAACCTTTCCTTTCTCAATAATGTCATGTCACAACTTTTTTTGGTAATTAAGTTTCTTTTTATATAGCTGTTTTAAGATTATTATATTTATTTTTTTTATTCCTTTTTGTTGTTATATACATATTTTTTTCACCATTTTTTTTATTGTATCTAGTAAGTTTTGGAGTAAGATCTAAACATTATGTAATCCATGTTGAGTTAGCCTTTAAGTGATGATACGCAACTGTAAAATTAAGTTCCATGATGTTATAATGTAGGTATAAGTTTTTGTGTATCACGTTGGCTTCTTATTAAATAAAATAAATAAATAAATAAATAAATGAACGAATGAATGAATGAATGAACGAATTAATGAATGAATGAATGAATGAATGAATGAATGTATGAATGAATGAATGAATGAATGAACGAATGAATGAATGAATAAATAAATAAATAAATTAATTAATTAAATAAATAAATAAAAATTAAAGATTTGCAATCGTAATAAAGATTTCATATCATTTGTAAACGAATTATGAATTCTTAAAGGAGATTTGAAATAAATGCCAACGTATTTATTTATTTATTTTTTATTTTTTTGCTACACACATACATTACATATATAATATAGTTAGTTTAGTTATACAGAAGAAAAAAATTTAAAGAAAACAGTGTAGCAAGGGGTCCATCTCATCTCATATTACATGTTGTACTGAAAAATTTAAATTTTATTTACTCGTAACCAGTAACATAGAAGAATTAAGCTTCAATCCTTCTTTGTACAGTCATTTAAAACGGCTGTCGAGATCCGTCAGAGTCTGAGCGAGTCGGATCATCAGCTCCGTGTATTAAAATATATTTAAAGTTTGGAACACAGATGCTTAACTTAACTTGATTTCCTTCGTATAGAGAGAAGCTTAGTTTATGTAAGTCATTCATAATAGGTACCCTTTAAAATAAGTTATTTATGTGGACCGGTGCGTGTGTATGATTTGTCGTAACAATAGTGTTTTAATACTTTACAATATTTATTATACAGCGAGTCTAATTCTCTCCCAGTCACGCGACAGAGCACGTCATCCCCCCGGCCGTTTATTGCATGTCGTTTATTTATTTATTGTTTTCGGTATTTTTATTGATGATCGTCAATCTTTTATAAATATCCAAATTATTTTTTTCTGTCAGGGTAACATTTCTTTTCATTCTAATGGATCGTTTCTTCTAAGTCCCCTGTAGCCAGTCGTCAGTATAATCACCCCGCACCGCCGGCACACCTTATACAGAACTCTCCAGCATGAAACACGTAACACATACATATATTAAGCTTCATGCATCCGCCTTATACCGTACGTCATAATATAGACGTATTTTTTTTAATAAAAACCTAACAAGTTCGCTTCCGTTCGAGTTGTTTTATTAGTGTATAATTTAGTTTGCCTATGTAACGTGTGTCGTCATCTCCTAGGTCGGATCCCTGAGCCATCATCTCCGGAGTCCGGAGTGTGAGAGAAGGAACTGTAATGTATTCTGTAATGTATTCTCGGTCAGAGCGGGCCGGAGCCGAGCCGGTCACGACGCTGGCGTGTCTGATTACATCTGGCTCCACGGCAGCTGAGGACCCATTTTCTTAGAACTTTCCGCGCATTGCATCAATTACGTATGTATATGAGAACTCGGAGCTCGCGTTCTGATGTACAGATCATTATCCGGCGACTGAATAATAATATGGATATATAGAGTGGGCAGGGTAGGGACCTTCACGGAGAGAAATACATGTGACCGGCTGAGTGTGGGATCTACTGATGTGTACCTAGACCTGGGATGATGGGCGATACTCGTGTTGGAGCAGGGACAGACCTTTGGTTTTTAATGTATAAATGTACCTATATATTTATTTGAAAATTTTCACCTATTACTCGATGCATCAGAACTTACAATTCTATAAACAGATTTGACATCGATATCCACCACTAAAATTTATTTAGTTTTAAGAAATCCTTATTGTATGCTGTAAGTAAGTTGTTATTATATTTTTATTTTTAAAAATATTTTTTATTGGCTTATAATTATTTATTTTGTTTTTATTGCCTGTATTGTATTTATGGCCTTAAACCTTATTAGTTTATGTTTGTTCTAGCTTAAGTTTTTAATATTACATAAGTTTTTAATAGTATTTAAGTTTTTAATATATCTTAATAGTGTATAACTTTGTTTTCAATTTAACAGTGCTGTAAATGCCTGTAGTGGTGTATCACACTGCACTGGTCCGTGTACTGTTATTACATAAGTGTTATTGTGAATATGTCGATGGTGTTTCAAAAAAATTAAATAAAAAATAAATAAATAAATTTGACCTTAAAACATTTCATAAGAAATTACCAATTTTAATGCGTTCTCATTGCCATGTGCATAAAACATTGCCTCGGTACACATTATATGTAAGGACAATGCGGACCGACCTATTGTATTGTATCCGCCGGGCACAGCTCGCGGTATGTGAACCTCTCAGACTATTGTCTACACTAACAGGCGACTACAGAATGAAGACTACTCGGACCCGGATGAGACCCGTCCGCCTAGAGCTCAGGCGGTGGAGACGTCCAGCTTCTGTCACCGGAACCTTCCTTCATAAACAAACGTCCTCCGCGTCACCAGTCAGCTGTTCGCCGTCCGCGTCACAATAACCGGCGCAGTGAGGTGACGCGCCCGGCTGCGCCCCCCGGCTCTGCGCAGCCTCGCGGTCGCCGCCGAGCCGCCATCTTTATCGATCCGGCGACGGGCGCCCCTCCCCCCTCCGGGCCTCACCCCCGGCCGCGGACGGCGGCGCAGGCGCGCGGGTCGCCGCCACAGTCTCGCGCCCGCCGCTGACAAGCGCGCACGTCCGTGCGCCTCCGCTCGCAAAATCAGCTGATCGGCGCGCGCCCCGCGGCGCACATGCCGTGAGGCCGCGCCCGTTACGATGACGGGCTACGCCCGCGGCGAGGGCGACTTTCGCCGCCGCCGACCGCTTCGCACGGGACGCGCGGCCCGCCTCGCTCGCTCCCAAGGATTACTCGGTGCCTTTACACGTAGACTGCAGTATCGAATACGAGCTTCCCGACTGTGCCAAGCCACCGCAGGGCGTCAAGATCGAGCCCCTGCTCATGATACATCCCTCGCACTTCCGGAGGCTCGAGAGCCTCAGGAGGGTGCCGTTCGTGAACAACCTGCCCCGAGGAGACGTCGCCAGCGCGGCCGGCGCCGCCGCCACGGCCTCCGCGGCCGCCCCCGACGCCCGGGCCCGCGGCCGAGCCGTCCGCCGCTGCTGCCGGGCGGCGCCTGCTCCCGCGGCTCCTCCGCCCCAGCCGGCCCAGGCCCAGCGGGCGCGCGGCCCGGAGGACAGCCGCCGCTACCGGTTCGAGTACGTGCCCGAGGCCGGCGGCAAGGTGTCCTCGCGGGCGCGCCTCAAGCCTCACCCGTACCTGCCGCCGGAGTCCCTGGACTGTGATATAGCGCGCGGCCTGGCGCCCGCCGCGCACTACGAGCGCTTCGACAAGCGAGCGCTGCGCCAGCTGCCCATCTACATGTAGCCGGGCGGTGTCTGTGATGTTTCGTTGTAATTAGTTAGTGTGATGAGTGGTGCGGGGAACCTGATACCAAATAGTACCTATGTGCGTTATCGTTTGAACGTTGTTTTCTGTGTCGATCTGTGCCGGACGATGGTGCCAGCGCTCGCCCTCCTCGGTCGAGCCTCTCCGCACGCCGCCGGCCGAGCCCACCGACGGGAGTATTTATTCGCAGTGGCAGTAACCGATGCTTCATGATAACTTATTGTACCGTCGCTGATTCGTTGCGTATTCTGTATAAGATATCATATCGATAATGATTATATTATGTTCAAAAATTGTATTATAATAAATATGTACCTATAGATTTAAAAAAATGAAAGTGAGAAAAATATTACGAATAAAAAAAAACTGAAAATAGTTATGTTTTCGACTAGGTGATGAGTTCTAGAACAGTCCTAAGTGGTATAACTAGAATCGTATTCTACTCTCATTTTGTTATAATTATATATTATGAAGAGTCCTCTGATGAATAGTCTGATTAACAAATATTCGGCATGTAAAAGTCTTTATAAAACGCTTACTTAGCATATCATAGTATTATATTGTGTCATAGTCCAATGCCAAAAATATAACTATCTTTTTACAAAAATCCCTAAAGCATCGTTTTATTTACCTCCAGCCTCCAGGCTGCGTTCCGCTCCCGGTATTCCGTCACCGTATACTGTATAGGTTCATGGTTAACGTGTGTCAGTGTGACTAGTGGCGGCTGGCGAGTCAGTGATGTAGCCTTAGATGATGTGTGCGCTTCACACATGAGGAGGAGCAGGAAGCGATGTGGAGCAGCAGGAGCGCGGAGACAGATGTGAGTATGGTTACTGCATATTATGGTTACGAATGGTACTGAGAGCTCAAGACAAACAACCCACGGAGACGATATAGATGACTCGAAACATAGAACAGTAACACATTATGTTGTACAGAAATCATCATAGCGAGTGTTCTATATTCCAGTGAGACACTGGTAGGCAGTAGCGCGTGTATAAACAATAAGTATAAAGTCTATTAATTCTCATGTATTGTGACAGTGTATTGTGTATTTTCTAACAGCGCCTTCGTTGCATCTTTGTAAATTTGCAAAGCTCAAAAAAGTGTAATATTACGCTTATTTACCAGAGACACTATCACTTGTGACGTACTCTGAATATCTGATGAAGTTGTTTATAGATACAAAAATAACGTTTATTATAATAAAGAACCGCAGTGGCTTCATATGACAAAACAAACAAACAAACAATATCTTCACTCATTGAGACGTGTTGGTTGACGATATCATTTTAATATTATTAGTAAAATTAAGTAGGTAATAATATATTTTAAGACTATCGATAGGATTTAGTAGTGTGATCTTTTGCTATATAATTAGATGAAAATGCATTAAACTAAATGTGTAATAGGTACTTAATATGTTAGGTTGAGTCGTTCAGTTCGTTCGTTCGTTCCGTTTTAAACGTAAAGTTCCGACGGAACGTTCGAGTGTCGGTTCAGTTTCATAAACTGGAGATGATAACATCTATGGAAGTATTCATTGTTTAATATTTCTCAACATAATGGACAAAAGGCTAACAACCATTCTTTCCGACATGAAAGGCAATACACAATGTATTGTGAAGAATGCATGATGACTGACGACCGCCGACTACTGGGAAAGATGAGATGAGAACACTCTCAACACACTCGTTGTGCTAAACGGGTTACGGGTTATTACTACACACGAGAACTACACCGTGAGGCGTCTCACAAGCGACAGGGGACAAGTTATTAGGAGTCCGTCGAGGAGTTTGGACTTGCAAAGAGCATCACCTTTATCTAGGAGATGTGACAAGTGAGAGATGGACACAAGACAGGCAATGAGAGGGACGGTCCATCATCAGGCCTGGGAGACGATGACGAGGATTAGACGAGGCCGGAACACGAAATAAACATCGAGACGAATGGATGATTGGCCTCCGCCGCCCGCCGGCGCCCCCTCGCGCGACCCAACAATAACATTACATAGTATGTAACGTTGGAAATAAGGATATATTTATTTTTATCTGCACGACCGCCATAAAAAGGTTATTGTTATCTTTACGGCTTTCATATTCTATGAAATTTGATTTGTATGTTTACGACGCGCTCCGTGAAGCACACACACACACACATACATACTAATGGCTGTACGGAGTGTAAGAGGTATGATTTCACGAAAAAGAAAATTGAATATTAGAGTGGAAATCGAGAGTTACAAATAATAAGGATGGCGGAGGAGATCATGCGGCTGTAGGAGTAACGAGCCTCGTCTGACTGATACGACCAGGATACAGAGACCTGAACGAGTACAACAGTCTGTGTCACGGCGGCCCTGGTCCCAGGACATAATGTCAGACGGCGCCGGGTGGTGGTGTATGAGGTGCGCCTGTTTCGAACGGTTCCCAAGTTAGTCTAACGCCCTGATCTCGTACGCCCGAAACGTGTCAGTGATATATAGTCGGCGTTATCTCTCGTAAAACGGATTTCTATCCGTGGTCCGCCCCCAGCCCCCGGCCCTGGTCCTCGGCTGTCAGCCCTCCGCCATAAAACATAATATTATCGACATCTCCCCCTCCCCAGGCGATCACGAAACTAAGCAACCATCGGCCATTTTAAGTGCCGAGCTCGACGTGCGGCCGTCCCGGTCTCTCCGTCCCTCTCTCGCCGCCCTGTGTGGGCGAGAGGGACAGGGACGCCGATAGGGATCGCCACTCTTTTTATGTTAGGTTCGAGGAACGTTCTGATTTCAGGCACCTTATAAATAAACTCAGGCGACTGACAACTTTAAGGCGATGTGCCGAGAGTCTCGTTTCCGTCGGCGAGCGTCATCGACGCGCCATGAATAATTTAAGCGATTTCAACAGCGGGTCGTCCGCGGCATAGAAACTAATAAATAACACCCCGGCGGGCGTTACGGGCTTACAGGCCCTGAGATACACCATCAGACGAGCCCCGGCCGACTCATGGGTGAATCTGTATGATGCTTAGACTAATACGTTTAGGGTTCTTTATAAACATTCATTGTGCTTCGATCCCCGAGTGGCGACCGTTCTGCACGACTGGCGCCTGGCGACTGGCGGCCACGAGTTGTTTATCAACGACGGCTCCACGCGATCAGCTGACTGGACACCCACCACAGCTGGCTGCCAGTGTGTGCGTGAGGAGGAGGCGGTGGTGGGGGGAGGAGGGGCTCACACATACACACACACACACACTCAGTCTCCGACGATAGTGGAGGAGGACCATCAGGTCGAGGTCCAGGACCGGAGCTGGATGTTATGACTAGTAGTTCTGACGTAGGCTCGCATTAGGCTCGTAACACGCTGGGCTTTTAAAAGATCTATCTATAAACTGAACACGTTTTGTGACCATATGGTCTTGTCGTTCATCATTCTAAATGGATCAAGTATCCTCGTATATTCTTTTACTGACCGACTTAAAACGTAACATTATTCCTTAGCTCTCAGGTCTATATATTATACTATACATATATCTTGTTCGTCGTCTCACCGCCCGCGCCCGCGCCAGTCTGTTAATATAATACACGACCCGCGGATGTTTACAAACAGACAGATAAAGTAATTAAAACTAATAAGACGAAGGAAACAACCGTACGCTTAGGATATTAACATTATAATATTATAAACCGATAAACATAAAAAATACAGACGAATAGATAACCTACATTTTTGGAAGTCGGTTAACAATGATATTTTTGTGTAGTACTGTGTGTAGGTCGCATCCACTCACTGTCTATAGGGACCTAATTATGTAGAAGTGAGTACGACACGAAGCATCTCATAGGAGGCTGCCACCCGTCTCAGATTACTGCACTTGGATCGACGGAAAATAACTGAACGACTCGCTCTCCTAATATAAAATATATATTGATTGATGACAAAGATATTAATAAGGCTACGATATCTCTTTAACGTTGTGACTGTGTCGACCGTATAGTTACTAAATGAAGTTTTTATTTTATTTAATAGGAAGCCAACGTGATACACAAAAACTTATAACTACATTATAACATCATGGAACTTAATTTTACAGTTGCGTATCATCACTTACAGGCTAACTCAACATGGATTACATAATGTTTAGATCTTACTCCAAAACTTACTAGATACAATAAAAAAAATGGTGAAAAAAAATAAAAAAAATTATATAATAACTAAAAGGAATAATAAAAAAACAGCTATATAAAATAAAACTTAATTACAAAAAATAGTTGTGACATGACATATTATTGAGAAAGGAAATGTTTTTTAATTTTACTTTTATACAAACTCAAACTATCATTAAAAATGTCTAGGTTTGCTTTACGCTCAATATCATTATAACATTTAATGATTCTTCTTATTGGCTCAGCTTGGTCTAAATTGGTCCTACAAAATGTACTTTTAAAAGTGTAGTATGTTGTATGTCTGGCATTTTGTCTCGGAACTACAACATTAATTCGATTTAATAGATCAGGACAGTCGATAGCATTGGATATAATTCTATGAAAGAAACACATAGATAGTTAGCAAGTATAGTCTTGTAATTAGCAAGTATAGTCTTGTAATTTTCGTTTGTAAACTATTTTTATCAATAAAGCACAAATATCATAAAAATTTCTTAAATATTCTTTCTATTCCGTCTTATTTATTGTTATTTATTTGAAGTACGCACAATAATGTATAGGTAGTATTAAATCTGCTTATCTGTGTTCCTTCCTCTAGTCGTCGCAATGCTTCATGATCGATATGGCGAAGCGTTTAATGATATTTTAATATGTGTTAAGAAACCAGAAAATATTTACCGAATATTTGTTCTGTGTCATAAACACGACAGAACGTGAATCACAGACACACAACTAAATATAAATAATAAAACAATAAGGATTTAACATCTTATTATATATACACTATTTCATATTTTTCACAAATTTTGAATCTATACTAATATTATAATTGCGAAAGTAACTCTGTCTGTCTGTCTGTTACGCTTTCATGCCTAAACCACTGAACTGATTTTAATGAAATTTGGTACAAAGATAGAGTTGACCTTGAGAAAGAACAGAATAGCTTTTATCCCAGAACTTTGAAAGTGCTCTTGGAAACGCGATATAACCGAACTCCACGCGGACGAAGCTGTGCGCGGAAAGCTAGTTTACTCTATAAAATTAATGATTACTTTTTTTTACTTAACTAGCTGTAATGACAAAAATATTTATAGAGAGAGCTTCAAGTGTCAACTGTCGTTGTCAAGTCTACAGTGTGTTGTTGTGTGTCGTCCTGTAGTCATTCTATCATCGTGTATAATCCTCGTATTAATATTCTTCACTCTCTCTATATGATAGATTTCCTTCTCTTCATAAATAATAACAGTGACGATATATTTATAAACGTCACGCGTGTTGTTTCTGTTGTAGTCCAGAACATGATGACTATTGAAATTCCTTCGTACATGATGCAGGTTTTTGTGAAGGCTCATAATATGTTTGAGAAGTTTTATACTTACATAAGAATTGTATTATTTTATTTTTATTTAAGTATTTAATTTTTATATAACTAACATGCAAAATAAATGTGAAAACTGATATAGATATATTAAAAGGAAAAGGATCGTTTATTAAAAGCAATACTATTCAACTATACTTAATTAATATCACTAAAATAATTCGATGTTAGAGTGTGTAGGTGACCCAGGAGGTAGGAAGTGTGTGAGCTTGTTCTAATGAGGACTCATCTTCCCGTCACCCTTCATGTCTCATAGTAATACACTTCAAATTATAAATTCCTTCAAAGATAGTTCGTTGTTTGTGTTGTCAGTTCATCTATTACATTTTCTTGTACATATGTCTAGTGTGTGTGTATGTGTGTGTATATCTTAATCCTACTCATACAGTCCGTGAGAGTATTCTTATGAAAATTGTCATATTAATAGTTCAATGTACGAGGACGTCTCCGCGGCGGAAGAAGTAACTCCGTCATCAGCGGACGGTCGACGAACGAACAGCCGCGGCCGAGTCGTTTATATAATGTATACATTACACATTATTCTAACTATGTATAAATGTCATCAATTTTAACACAAACAAAACACAATACAAAGGTCCCTCGCGACTTCTGAATAAAAGTCATCTAAAATTGTCACTTTAATTGTAATATTTGTAACAAAACACTATTTAGAGTGAGCTCGTCCGTCAGTCATAAGACAGATATAGTTTTTAAATATATGGCGGTCGTTAAAAGCTCGTAAATCATATTGGTCAGTGTCAGTGCAGTCAGGAGCTGAGGGCTGTGATGGGGGCTCAACTACACATACTATATAATTTTTTTTTTTTTTTTTTTGATGACGTAGTGGAAACTCTTTTTACGAGCCGTCCAACCGGCCTTGGTGGGGCCGGAAGGGATGTGTGAGGCTCGGCCTGGGCAGGCCCCTACTCACTAAAACCACTGCGAAAGCCATCGGCCGCTATGTCGGTGTACCCCGGATCTGTCAGCGACAGGGCACACCAGCGACTGGCCGGTCCTGGCAAAGACCGGACTTACTCCCTCGGAGAATGGGGGCGATCCCGGCAATTAGGACCACCCCGACGACGCCGGGCTTTCAAAAGGGCCGGGTTACCACGCCGACCCCAGCCCGGAACACAGGGGTGCTATTGGAGGCGTAGGAATTGCCTCCGACGCACCCCCGTACGTCGCCTGCGGGGGGAGGGAGCATCAGCCGCCCTCTCCCTTTCCCGCTGAGATGCCTCCTTCGTGGACATGACCGTCTCACAGAAGGAGGACACCGCCAACCAGGACCCATCACTCTCGAGCATCTTCTCCACGACACTCGAAAGCGACAGGTCCACTCCGCCGAGAGCCGCCACAAGGTCTTGGCGCTGCGCAGCCCATCTCGGGCACACCTCGAGGGTGTGCTGGGCCGAGTCCACCGCAGCGCCGCACTCATGGCAGCCTTCTCCCGGCTCTCTCCTGGCCGTCCGACACAGGTAGTAACCAAAGCACCCGTGCCCGGTTAAGACCTGCGTCAGACGGAAAGTGAGGGGTTTGCGTTTCCGCCTCATCCAACGCTCTAGGACCGGGCGAAGCGCTGCCGTTGTACGTCTACCGTACGGCTGCTCCGCCAAGTCCTCCCCCCACTCCCGCATAAGGCGCTCCTCCCCCTGCCGACGAACCGCTCGGATCTCCTCCGACGAAGGGTTCTCGCCGAGTGTCCTCCTACCCGAGACATAGGAGAACAACTCGGCTCGAACCGACGCCACGAGATCCCAAGGCGGATCGCCGGCAAGGGCAGTCGCTGCGGCCCAGGAGACCGTACGGTACCCCCTAATCACCCTCACCGCAGGAGCCCTTTGCGCAGAGCGCAGCAGGGCTTTGGTCCTGCGGCTCATTGGGCGATCAGCCCAAACGGGAGCACCGTACAGGGCTATACTCCGACAGACCCCAGAGTATAGCCGCCTGCAAGCTGCGCTGGGTCCTCCGAGGTTCGGGAGGAATTTTCCCAGCGCACCTGCCGTCCTCACGACCTTCGGCCCCAGTTCCTTGAAATGAGGCACGAAGGTCCACCCTCCGTCAAGAGTGAGCCCCAGATATTTCATGGTGGGACTCACCCTGACCCTCCCTCCTCCAATGAGGAGGGTGGCACCCGGCGGGGGTCCTTTCCGCCCAGTCCCGCGGAAGAGGAGGGCTTCGGTCTTGTCTATTCTCACCCGAAGCCCCAACCTCTCTATGCGGCTGATCACGAGGTCAGTTCCGACCTCGGCCAGCCGCGCCGCCTCCCTGTAGTTTCGTCCCCGAGATAAGACGAGGGTGTCATCGGCGTAGCAGATGACACCCATCCCGGGGAGGAGACGACTCCGCAGGACCCAGTCGTATCCGACGTTCCACAGGACCGGTCCCAGGACCGACCCCTGTGGCACGCCGTTTTCGACTGTCCACCACTCTATGGACCCCCTCCGGCTCTCGACTGCCACCCTCCTCTGGGAGAGGTAGCTGTTTATCAGCCTCCTCAGATACAGGGGCACTCCGAAATACTCGAGTGCCACCTGTATCGCGCTGTGTGGGAGGCTGTTAAACGCGTTTGCGATGTCCAACGACACCGCAACCACTACCTCTCCTCTGCGTTCCGCCTCTTCCGTCACCGCCCTCAGGCGTTTGAGAGCATCGACGGTCGACCGATGGGCTCGGAACCCGAACTGGAACTCTGACAGTCCCGGGCCCGAGCCTTCCTCCAGATGCCGAACGAGACGGGTGGCCATTATTTTCTCCAGGGCCTTCCCCGCCTCGTTC